TCACCCCTCCCATTGTTATCCCATCGATAAGGGCGATGTAGGGTTTCTTGAATGTTCCTGAAAAGTGAAAAAATATTTACCTTGAGTAAGCACGCTGATCATGTTAAAGTCCAGGTGTTTGACTGTTTTATCTGAGGCCATACATCTGTTTGTATGTCAGTGTATTTCAATAGATAACACACACTCACTCAACAGGGTTTAAATAAATCTCCGCACACCTGAGTGAGTGACAGGTGCGTTGGAGGAGGGTTATACTTAAAGACAATAAAAAGGGCTCCAGCACAATGTCTTGCTTTATGCTGACAAATTCATTTGATCAAACAATGTTTTGTCAAACTGAGCTTCATCTGGTACAATGTCCTTCCAGATGAAGGTCGAAAACAGACCGAGACATAATATGATCAAATACACTCTTTAGCACAAAGCCAGAGAGAGTGTGGGAGCCCTTGTCATAGTCTTTAAATGTGATACTTACCTATAGTGTTGTTGAGAATGTATTCCTGACGGAAAAAGTCCTCTGCAAGTGAACCTCCAGCTTTTCCCGCTTCTGTGACAGCTGAGAGGAGGAAGAAAAAAACAGATCAAAACTATAATGAGGTAACATGATTTCAATAAAGTCCAAAGGGGAACAATGAAGACAGGCAAACCAGGTTTCATGGCCATCGCAACATCAGGATTTCTCTACTCCTCTCTTTTTAATATGTATTATTTATTGATGTATGCATCACCCGCAGACCCTTATACGCTACTTAACCTTTTAGTTGTTGTAACACAAACTTCACCTCTTTTATGAACTGCTCATCTAAAAGAATGTTTTTTTTATTTATTTTGCTTTCCTTTTTTTCAGAAGAAACCAGGAAAAAAAAACACAAATCCGAGTCATCATCAGTAATAAACCATGCAGACACAGTGATTATCTTCCATGACCCTGACCTCTCTTTTCTGACTGCCGCCGCTTTCCCCGTCTGTGTCTGGACTACGGTGATGTTTTCATCTCATAGCTTACATTCTTAGGACCCCTGTGTATCTGAGGTTCATCACTGATTTTAAATCCCTCCCTCATCATTGTTTCTGGTTACATGTGTTGGATGTTCTTCTTCGTCCACCGGAGACTTAAACACTGGTGTATTCTTATGAACACGTTTATTTATAGGTGTGCGTCCTACAAACCGTCTGACCTTCATCAGTCAGAAGAGAATAGGTACTTAAAATCTTCAGTCCCAGGATCTTTTCTTTTCTTTCCCCGTCTGTAATTAAGGTCAGAACTGAACCGGGGGAAAAAAGTGCTTAAGTTTGCTGCTCTGTTTACTTGGACGTAATTTAACGAGCTGCTCTCATTGGACGCTTTAAAGAGGAGCTTAAATAACTCGGAGGGAGACACATCTGGCCGTCGCTGTTCTCCCTGATAATTTTCTGGTTGTGGGCAATCTCATATCTCAATTTTTTTTTTTTTTCAGTTAAATGAAATAAATAAATAAGCTGCAACTGTGTAGTCACATTTTTTCATCCTGGGTTTTATCCCTCTGGCCAAAACAAAACAGGCGTCCCAAACCTTCAGGTTCAAAGAGCTTGTAGAGTCACACTCAGCCTGGAGACATTTTGCAGACATTAAATAAAAGGTTGATACAGGTATTTACTCCCCCCCCTTCATTTCTGTGTTGTAAAAAAAACTACTCTTTAATCTTGATTAAATTTGTCTTTTTATTTAAAGGACTTGGCAAAGTAAACTTGATCTAAAGTCAGATTATAAAAGATAATTTTATTTCTAACCCTAATGGTTAGTAAACCTATTTCTTTAGCTCTCCAAACTGGTATTTCATTAAACCCCATAGGACCCCCACGTGTCTCCATAAACTGTATCAACAAGTTATTGATATTGGTAAAATAATTAGTTTCGGCTACCCATACTGAAGTGTTATGAATCCATGAAGGCTGCTGCTGCTTACCTCTGATATCTCCACCAGCACAGAAGGCCTTCCCACCTGCTCCTTTGATTATCACAATGTCGGGGTCATCTCCACTTTCCCATTTCTAAAATCAGAGAAAAAAAATCTTTTAACAAAGCAGCACATCTTTGGGAGAATTTTAAAAAATTGCATCATTTTGTTTAAGTTTAGACATTATAAAACAGAAACCCCATCAACCACCATTCCTAAAACCAAAGCCCTGACCATTAGCCATTTTCACATCCAGGAGGAAATTACTAACAACTTGGATTCAGGGGTGCTGGTGGAGCAGTGGTGACTGCGTACACCCCAAGTATGGAGCTTGTGGTTCTCCAGGTGGGTGGCCCAGGTTCGAATCCCACCTGTGGCTCCTTTCCCGCATGTCATTCCCCCACTTCCCATTTCCGACGCTATCCACTGTCCTATCTCTCCATCAAAAATATTTGTTTTTTTGTTTTTAAAAAAACAACTTGACTTCACACAAGAAAGATTCAAAAGGCTCATGTGGCTTAAGTTGAAGAAAGTTTATACATACAAGAATACTCCGGAGGAGAGGAGGAGTAGCAAAAACCGAGCTTTGACCCTGCTATGCCAATTCCTCTTCCTGAGCTGCTTGTTTTCACAAACGTCTCATTACAGGCGACTATCGCTGTCGGAAAGCTGAGGGGAAGGATCTCAGGAAGCAGTACATGGCGTCGATAAAAACCACAAAGATGAGGCGCTTTGCCTTGCTTTGATTATAACTTATCATCTTTATATTTAACTGTATCTATTTATATTTTATTTTTCAGGGAATGCTACCCTCTCCGTCTTTAAAGTAATTCATTTTCCTAAACTGCTTTAAATGCATAGCACTCTCAGTGGCTTCAAGTGAAATGTTTGCGCTCTGTGAACACACAGATGTTGACCTCTGACACACTGAGCCAAGCTCTCCACTCACCTTGAGTTGAGGGTAGATCAGTCCGATCATGGTCATGTTTAAAGCATTCAGGACTTTGGGTCTGTTTAAGGTGATCACGCCTGCGTTGCCCACTTTCTCCAGGAGAACCTCGGGTTCAGCCTGACTCGACATCTGATCCACAAACAAGAGACAACAAGAGTTTTCACATGACAGTAATCAGTGTTTAATCTGTGTTGTCCATGACAGTGAAACTACCACATACTACCACATCTTCTCACCATATGTCCCTGGATACGCTGTAATCTGCAAAGGGACCTCAGTCTGGAAACAGCAAGGTGAGAGTGATTCAAATTATCAATAAACACAAACACAGATACCCGGATGTTGACCTTCAAGTTAAACAATTTACCTTTAAAAAAACAGTATAACACACGAGTACAATAACTATCATCGTTGTGACAGCTTGAGTCCAGCATGTTTGACTTTTCATAACCAGAAACAAAACTTAATTCAAGAGTAAAATTACGTTTTCAGGTAAGACAGTCGCGTGCAACATACCTGTACGCCGACGTTAAAATGGTAAAGGACATAATTATAGTTTATTGAGTAATATCGTCTGGACAGAGGCTGCACTTTCAGGTACAGCTAACTCTCCTTGCTTTTTCCTCTGTAGTTTTTCTGCAGCTGCTTCCTGGAAGAGGTATGGAGCGGGTCCTGATTGGTCAGCGATGTGACGTAACAGTGGGCGGACGAACCACCGAGGGAGAGCCAGGTCGAAACGTGTTTGCGCTGCACTGCCACCTGCTGAGGAGAGGAGGTACTGCCACTCCTGCGTTTTCATGATACGGGACATCATTTCTTGTTTCGTCCCGGCATTGTTTATTTACATCAGTATATTTCAGTGGAAACAGTGGATTTAAAGTAGAAAACGTACTCATTTAATGTGTTTCTTTGCCAGTCATTTTATCATAAATTTGGTATTTATTTGTACTCCACTAAATTTTAACTGTGGAATATTGACCTGGTACTTTTGTGCTTTTACACATTTCTGCAAGTTACCACGATCATACAGGAAAACCATAAAAAATGTAGTGATACAAATTAAGCATATAAACAGAATATAGGCTTATAGTTCTTTAAATTATTTTCATTTTAAATGCATCTGATTTTTTTATAGTTACTTATCAATAAGAATGTTTATGCTGTATAATAAGGTTATCAAATAGAGTAACTAAAACGTGCTGCACATTTACAAATGACCCTTAAATATTTAAATTACAGACTGACTTATACAAAATAAAACCATGTCTAATTCATAATTACGTTCTAAAAGGAAGCAGTTGCTGGACTTTGTCTCTGCTTTAACCTTTGAATCTTTGAGTGACTTTCACTAAAAATACTTTTGTACTTGAAGTCATGTAAAGTTTGAATATTATTCTTAACTATACTTAAAACTGAATTTATCAGGGCTGCTAAACGATTCAAATGTTTAATCACGATTAATCGCAAAATTTCAATAGTTGATCACAATGAAATCGCATTTTAATCCCATGTTTAAATTTCCATTATTTTGCATCTAAATAAAAACTGAAAGGCTTTTATTTTGAATTTGTTTTCTGTTTTAAGGTGAGAGTACTTTACTTGCTGTTTGAATTAAATCCTGCTTTTATTTTGAAGTTAAATAAGTACCTTCTGAAGACACTAACTTATGTCAAAAAGTCACAAAATAGCATGTGATAAACCACATTACAAAAAAAGAATGCATTAATTTCTGACCTTAATTAATCACAATTAACTAGTTAATGCTGACATCCCTTCATTTATATTTATATGCTTGCTATTGTAATCGAACAATTTTGAATATTTTCATGTAAAAATATGTTTGTGATTATGTTTTTAATACAAGCAGAAACAATGCTCCTCAAGGACAAGTCAACGTGTTATTAAAAGGCTGGATAGCAACATGGGAATTGTTTTTATTACTCAAGCCATCAAGATTAAAGCGACTTCAGGGCCAGTTCCAGGGTCTGATGAATCATTATCACCGAGGTGTGGCTCAGTAAACTCTAGTCCACTTTCCCAGAGCAAACAAAGTGCACGCCCAGGTTTTATTGAGTGACACAGACAGCATGGAGACAAAATAAAACAAAGAATGACGGCATTGAAATGCAGATTTATAATGAAAATGAGCACCTTTTATTATTCTCACAATCAGACTCATGGGGACAATAGTGTCTGTAATGTATTGCTTACAATACAATTATGACATTTAAAAAAAAAAGCTTACATCATGTCATGCCAAGGAGTCGTGTTACGGTTATTAAGGACTATTTTTGTGGAAATTTAAGACAATTTTAGAGAGCATGTTTGTTAGAGAGATAAAAGTTTCCAAACGGCAACGTGTCGGGACTTCATCTAGTCCGAGTCGCTGCTGCATGAGCTGCTGGAGGACTACAGAGGGATAAACACAACACAAAGACATTAATGAAACACTGAACCTCTCATAAACTATGGAAAAATGAAATTACAATACATTTGACAAATAGCATAACAGCAGGCTGCATTGGGACAATTACAGAGCATTGCTTTGATTTATTTTTGTTCTATTTTTGATATTGTGGATTCTGAATAACATTTGATCTATTATGGAAATAAAACCAACATGCTCTGCATGAAAACAGACAGAAAATATAACTAAATCTTACCCCGTGACAGTCCTTTCCTTTCTTGTGACATTTGTTGTGTTTGTGACCGCCCTTTTGCTTCTTGTGCTTTTTCTTGTCTCCGTGTCCATGTCCATGACCATGTCCATGTCCCTGGCATGCTCCTTGTCCATGTCCCTGTCCTTGGCATGCTCCATGTCCATGACCATGACCGTGGCTGTGGTCGTGCCCATGCCCGTGCCCGTGCCCGTGCCCATGACCGTGTGCCTGCCCCTGACCCGGGCAGCAACCAGGTCCAGGTCCATGTCCTTGGTGGCCTCCGTGCTGGCCGTGAGGCTGAGGAGGGTATACAGGTGGTGGGGCGGTGCCTGGAGGATAGTTAGGGTATGTCCCCGGTACCTGGTTGGGATAACCAGGGTACTGGTTTCCTAAACACACAATAAAAGATATTAACCATAAATCCCTGAGCAAACATGATCATTATATGTAAGAGAATTTGAGTTATTTACCTTGGTTTTGCCCGTACATTGTCACACTTCAGATGAACGTACAGATACTGGAAGGAAAAAGAAAAATTACTTTAACTAAGTCAACACTCTTAAAAACATCCACTTTTTTTTAAACTGAAGTGATGTCCAGATCCTCAGCAGAGTTTCAGAGTTGTACTTACTGTGAGCTGGAGAGCAGGTCGACTGGAACAGCGGTCACCTGCTGCTCCTTTTTATGTTCAGACCCCCTCACATGATTTAGGGCAGAGTCTTAACGCTGCAGAACATTTCTGCCTTGTGACATAAATGGGTGTGTGTGTGCGTGCGTGCGTGCGTGTGTGTGTGTGTGTGTGTGTGTGTGTGTGTGTGTGTGTGAGATCTTTAACATACAGTCAATATGAGCCATAAACAGTCAAAGATATGGATACTCACACACACACACACCCTTTTATGATCTTTGAAAGATTCTATTTAGAAAATCTTTTTATCAGACAGTCTGTGATAGTTGGACCATTTGTTGTCTCATAACATTTCAACATTTTGATCTTTGAGTCTTTAATTATTTGATAAGTTGACTCTCTGAACACATTACTCAACACATCAGGAATGATTATTATGTGGACGAGAAAAGACTAACCTACAGGACGTCATAACAGCAGGGGAGTTGTTCTGGACAAAAGCATGACTACAGAGGAGTGGTCACAGTTTGTTTAAAGAAACATCTTGTCCTTCTTTTGCTTCTTTTAGGTACGGCGGACAACAGAGCCTTACAACCGGCAATGATTCTAAGGATTTATATTGGGGAAACATGTTGCTATAGGCTAATTCAGAATCCATGCAATTTCAGAAACACGTGCAAAAGTCAAATTCATTAGCAGCAATGGAAACTGTTGCAAACTTTCTTTTAAAGGGCTGCGAAAAGACAAATTAACTTTATTAACAGCATCACTTGGTCGTCCTCAAACGAGCCCTCCGGTGACATCTCCAGTCACCCCAATCTTCCATGCATCTTGTTGACTTACCAATTGCTTTCTGCACCTGCATCATTCCTAAGAAGATCTATATATTTAAATGTGGGACGCTCTGGGTCGATGCCCGTGTGTGGGCTCCCATGGCACCAGATAACTGGCAGGTAGCTTCCTGTGTTTCCAGCAATGACCTGCCAGCCTCATCCTCCTATATGCTGTTTCCTCACTCACTCTTGGCAACCCCCTTTATAACTCGTTAATGGTGACATGTGCTGCCCTACACGTAGCATTCTAGGGTAGCATCCATCCAGAGACTTCTGCAGGGTGGGCTTCAGGGTCCAGCATTCTCCTCAATAGCAAGCGAGCTGCAAATACCATGAATGATACAAAATCTAAAGGAAGTCAGTTAAATCCAGTCAGTAATAAACTGTGCAACCCCTTTAGCCAGTCAGCACTACAGTGTGATGGCTGGGTTTGCAGCATTTTTCATTTGCAACTCATATTTTTGAGGCAAAATTGTATTTGCAGCTCACTTCCATCGTTGCATTTTTTTGGGACTTTTCTGAATTTGCAATTTCTCTGAATTTGCAGCCCAGCCCAAACGATGTACACGCGTTGCAGGGTTAGTTGTCGTTGTAGGTCGCTTTGTCCTGTCGGCCCCCGTAGCTACAGGTTGAAGGAACAATTTGGTTTTACATTTGGTTTGGTCTTGATGCAAACTAACCAATCCACTTCTCTGTCTTGGTATTAATGTTGATGAGCAAGAAAGAAAACACTGTTACCTTGCATTAACTGCTGCAGAGAAAGTTGATTTCCTGCTTTTAAAAACTAAGGAAAACTGACAGAAATCACACCTTGTTGGTGAGGTTTTTGGCTATTGATGAGGTGTTGTTCGGTTTACATGATATCTCTATTGTTTGGAGTTTGTTTTTATCAGTTTTCCACACATACAGTTAACTTCACAATCCTTCCAGTTTAAACTTTTGAAAACTGGCTTCTCAGCTTTACTATTGTGTGAGAGCAGCTTGTTCTAATCATGATTCATTAATCACAAGATTACATGAGGTCAACGCAGGACACACAAAAGTGGCACTAAGTCAGGCTAACAGTGCACTAGTGTTTGATTATTCACATGATTAAAACTGGATGGAAGTGAATGGGCATGTTCAGGAACTATTAGAGACAAACACTCATGAACAAAGGTCTTCATTCAACTCTTATATAAATACACACAAACAGATAACAAACACATTCTAATAATAAACTGTGAGGTCAGTTTAACAGAGAGAGTTGTCGTCACAAAAAGAAGTCATTATAACAATTCAAAACAACTGACAAACACACTGCTGGTAACCACTAACATGTTTTATTATTTCACTTTAAAATGTGATGGGCACAACACTTATGACAGGCCATGAAATGCATGAAATCTTAATTTGACTAAAAAATATTCTGCAGCCTTTAATAGCCTTATGTAGGTGGCTGTGGCTCATTGGGTAGTCTTGTAGTGATGTGGATTTCCTTGTTGTTGATATGTTTGATGATGAAGAAATTCGCCGTTGACACTGACTTGCTTTCAAAGAGTATAATTTTATTTAAGCAAGAAACAGAGTCACTGGTCACGTCTGACCAGGAGGATCAAGAAGCCAATAATGATCTCTCTCGAACACACAGAGACAATTGCTTATATGCATCCAAACATCCGCTTTTCGTCATGGGTCATAAAACATCACGTTACACAACCACATGTGGCAATACTCCTATACAATACCTCAATTTAAACATTCCACCTGAGGGGACTCCTAAATCTCCTTCAGATACTATCACAAGACGCACCCGTTGTAAACTTATATTATCTCTGTCCTAGTTACATCAGACACTTCAGTAGTCTGTCAACCTGGAAGGTCGGGGGTTCAGCCGCCACATGTCCAATGTGTCCTTGGGCAAGACACTTAACCCCACGCTGCTCTCGCAAAGAACTATACAAGCTCACGTCCATTAACCATATATTTGAAATGTAAATAAACAACACTGTAAGATTCATGTTGTTAAATGAAATGATTATTATGTTAATATGTAACAGGATGAAGGTGTCCAGGTGGTTACATCCGTCTTTCTCTTCTTCTAGTCCGAGTCGCTGCTGCAGGAGCTGCTGGAGGACTACAGAGAGGACACACATTGAGATTTGAATTAGTTATGACAGCCAACTCATTACTACGCTTTTATGCCCAAAATCTCTGGGTCTACAGTAATTCATTTAACAAAAATGATTTCTCATAAAAGCATCTATTTTCTGACTCCCTTCTCAGTTATGTGTTGACACTATTTTGTCCACTTAATTTGTATTAGTTAAAGTAAACCAAAAACAGACATGCATCCACATATATAAGAAACAATGCTGCACAAAGTATATTCATCAAAATGATCAAACAGGTGCATCAACACCTCTCTACAACATTTTATGTTATATCATGGGTTTGATATTATCAATGAAGAGAGGATTTATTGACAGACTTTATTTGTGGCTTACAAACTGGTATTTGATTGAATTGGATCCAACAGTTTTAAATTACATTTAACAGACTTTCTGTTTGGACTGTGTCAGTATTTCCTGGTTGGAAGAGTGGGGTTTGAGCACGTCAGACCCAAGAGGTGATATAAGCGCCCGTTACTCTCCAGACTTTAACGACTTAAGGCTTCAATCAAAAGAACAATACACATTTCCTCTAAATTAAAAACTCTCAGAACGATCAGTGTATGACTTATATACAACCTAGCCAAACAAAAATTATCAAAATTAGAAACACACAGATGTGGTTTCTTCGTACTACTTTTTTTTATCCATAATCTGTATTATTGGGACGTGTTGTGTTAGTAAAAATGATTTGTGTTATACTGTGTTTATACAATTATAATGTATGCATTTCCTGTGGTTGTATTTGAATGATGTTTTTCACCTGTGTCTATGTTTGCATGTTTGACCACACCTGCCGGTGTGCAAATATGTTTAAGGGTGCGGCCCCCCGACATTTAAAAAAGCTATCAACCTGTAGAAGAGCATCTGGTTAAAATGTTGAGATTATTACACTCCTTTTGGTATTGAGTTACAATGCGACCTGTCTTCTTTTTCTTTCCACTTTCTTCTGTGGTACAATAAATACCTCATTATTTACTCTGCCCGGTATCAAACAAATAAAGTGATCTTACCCCGTGACACTTCTTGCCTTTCTTGTGGCAATGACCATGCATGTGACCGTGATTGTGCCTGTGCCCATGTCCGTGTGCATGCCCATGCTCATGACCATGTCCATGATGCCCATGTCCATGATGACCACGACCACGACCACGACCGCGCCCATGTCCATGGTGCCCGTGTCCATGATGCCCGTGTCCATGTCCATGATCATGATGCCCATGCCCATGCCCATGATCATGATGCCCATGATCATGATGACCATGATCATGATGACCATGATCATGATGACCATGCCCATGATCATGATGCCCATGATCATGATGACCATGATCATGTCCATGTCCATGTCCATGTCCATGTCCATCTCCACAACCAGGCTCTGGTCCATAACCATGTCCTCCATGAGGAGGGTAGCTGGGTGGACCACAGGGCTGAGGAGGGCAGGGTTGGGGTGGACCACAGGGCTGAGGAGGGCAGGGTTGGGGTGGACATTGGGGGTATCCTCCAGGCTGAGGATTGCAGCCTGAGGGATACTGGTTTCCTAAAAGAGGAGTTGCCCAGCATGTTATTTCACTTTGATTTCAGTATATTTAAATTTTTGACCCAATAATTTGAGCACATTCAAGTGAAAGTGAAGCCTTCATACTTTTAAGTAAATGTATTATGTACCTGTGTTTTGCCCCCACATCTCAACTCTCCAAACTCTGAAATAGAAAAAAAACAACTCAAATGCAGGCAAAAAAATCTCCTTTTAACACAACAACGGAAATCACTTTTTAGAAAAAATTAGGTGCATAATCAGACATTGTGCATGAAATAGAGTTTGCATTGTTTAAGCTCACAACCGGCAAAGCAGCTCAGAAGTATTGCATCATTCCTTGACTGTATTCGTACAAAGCTTCCCATAAATGGGATAAGTCTTACTGAGAAGAACAAGAGGCTAAATCAGATATCAAATGAAATACATGTAAGCAAGATGATCAATCTTTTACAGCACAGAAACACATCCAGTAGATACTTCTCCAGGTTATTTACGGCCACATAGTCAAATGTTAACTTACCGTGTGCTGAAGAGCAGCTCTTCTGAAACTCAGCTGGATCTGCTTTTTTATATTTATGAAGCCACACCTCACAATCCAATGGCATCATCAGGGGCAGAGCCTGAAGCGCACATCATTTTTAAAAAATTTTTTTTTAGATGTGTCAACATGCACTTGAGATGTGGTTGCTAAGTTTACTTAAATATGCTTTTGCAACCATGTGGCAGCAGATGATCTTGAAAGGACATTTAAATGCATATTTTTTCTCCCTGACAAACACAATCATGTCTACACTGATCCCTAAAATAAACACTTCTTACAACCACTCTATTAGCCACAATATAAAGGGTATGAAAGGGCTCTTTTTTGGCGCTGTCTGGCAGTAGCATCAGTCACATCTTTTTTTTTTTAATGGTTTGTAAAATGCCTGGAATTTCTCCAATATGGCCGTCACCTTTTTGGTTATTCGGAGCTATAGTGACCATATTTATCAAGAAGTGACAGGCAGTGAGAAGTGTCAAAGTAATTATGTGAGCATGTGCTCAAGGCTAATTCTTTAGCTTGCTTATCAGATAGTTAGACAAAACAAAAGACGATGTAGCTCTGACTCGCCCCACAATAATCTGCACAGAAAGCTGTAACTTTTCATTAATTATTGGTGAGTTAAGAACATTTTGGCTAAGCTTACCGTGAAAGTAAGCTAACTGGATAACCCTGCAGTAGGTTGAACAGTGAAGTAGACACTAAGGACAATAAGGATTACTTATTTGTTGGTTAAGGACATTCAGTTGAATATTTAGTTAATGTTATTGGGAATTTGTTCAATGATACAAACTCTAATTCAGTAAACTTGGCAAAGCACCCATTATCAAAATTGGAACAAAAAACGTATACTACTTGGCTTAATCATGATTTGCATAGAATACAGCAATGCAAAACACTTTCACACCAACCCCCACCCATTCAGATGCAAGACCAAACAGAAATTTCACCATTTATTGTTTTAATTTTCTACACTTACACTTCATCAAAATCATTGAAAGAGGCCCAAACAACACAGCTTTGTATTCTATACGAAGCCACATAAACAAAAGTTGTCAAAAGGCAAAAACAGCTGAGAAAACCAACAAATCCACCTAAATGTAATATCTATTCAACCTGAAATGTCTCATCTCATCATCAATGAGGAGAGAGTGACTGAGGATTCATGTGTCAGTCTCTGGTTTCACTGTCAAATTAATTACTTTAGTGTTTGAGTCGTGACCATACGTCAGTGAAGCACCAATGTGTGTTTTACATGTGACAGGCATGAGCTTGTTTACATGTACAGACCTGAATTATAGATAGTTTTGAGATACAGCCTCATTTGATTGTTGCATTGAGAGAAAGAACAAAAGTTTCCAGATGATTCAGGAGTCTTCATTTAATCGGAGTCGCTACTACTGCTGCTGCTGCTGCTGCTGCTGCTGCTGCAGGAGCTGCTGGACGACTGCATGGATGAGAGAGAAAACAAACAACAACAAAAAATCAATCAGCATAGAAAGATCATAAGTGAGCTCTTGACATTTGAGTTGTGATTCGTTTGTCTATTGCAAATTATTTATCAGTACTGGAGCTGTGAGGAGAGAAGGGTCACAGGTTCAGTTTGAGGCAGATGGGGATTGGTTGTAACTCAACACATTTAGATGAAAGTATTTGCAGCAGGTAAATGTATATATCTTTATCGTTTGCTGTCTTTTTGTCATAATTATGGTGGTTTCCATTCATCTTGGAACTGGGAATGATGTCCCACCTGAGTTAACTGTGTTCCAGTTGCAAGTCGAACAAGCAACATACATGGACGCCTCATGGAGTACCTTTGTTTTGCCAACTAATACCTGACAATAACAACACACTACGTGGTAGTTTGTACGCAAAAATCACATGACAACATGTCTACAGAGGGAACTAGCACGATGCTTTCTGTGTGATTGATTATAATGACACAAAAAGAGGACTAAGCTGCAAATAAACACTGCTAAACTTTACTGTTGATGCGCGGAGCAGCCATGTTGGATTTTAACTCAAACTACCAAAGTTGTTCTGAGTCACCAAGTATCTGACCGGCACCATTACACAAAATCTAACTGGTAACATTTTATCTGTGACTCTGAAGACTTTCAGAATCTCCATAATATACTCGTCGTATCGTTCAAAGCCCCTCAACCTCCTGCTGAATTTCTGTGTCTGTGGTTGTCTCTATATATTTCTTTTCCCCCTCACCTCTCCCCTTTAGGACGATTTCCCCCTGTGGGAGAGGTGGCTCGTGTGGCTGTTAATTATTTTAGCTTTTGTATCATTATCCATCCCGTTATTTATTATATTCATTTGTGTGTATTTATTTAATATGCAGATTTCATTGAAATTTCACAGAACCTACATGTTGTATTCTTATTGTTTTATGTGCAGAAGCTGGAACGAGCAGAAGAATTAACACAGAGGTTAAATAAATAAAGACATCTTTCCTCTGTTACTGACACAAAGCAGAAGTCCACTGGTTACATACTGTGTGAAGTGGAACATGCAGGGCACTCAAAAAGTACAAAAAATAAATAAAAAAGAATCTAGTGTAAACAGTATAAATCAGTATAAACACTTTTTCCTGACACGTTTATCAAATAAATATAGTGTTTGATTTATGCAAAAATAGGCAGAAAAATATCCCGTCGTCATGCTGACTGTTTGCTTTTGTCAAAGGTTGTTTGGTGTGTAGCTTCACATGTTGCTGCTAATTTTCAGCATTCAGAAAGCCTAGTCTAGTGTTTATGCTAAATTCTTTATGCTAAAGGAGATAAAAAGAAAGCAATAAAGATCCTGACCTAAGCACTCTGGGTTTTAAACCAAATCTCAAAGTGTCCCATTGCTTCACTTAACCTTCCGAAGCAGAGTGGATGATATGTTTTTGGCCCGTGGCCCTTTTTTTTTTTAGTGCATTCATACTTTATGTCTTAACTTTTAATAAATAATCACTTTCAAGAGTACTTATTTGACATGTGAAGGTTGAGTTTTATGAATTGTCACTGCTTTCTGAATAAAACTCATATTCTGTTCTATTGAATCGAACATTGCATAATCTTACCCCATGACAATCCTTTCCTTTCTTGTGACACGTCACGTGCTTGTGACCACGCTTTGGCCTGCGTCTACGTTTGGGCCCACATCCCTGTCCTTGACCACAGCCGTGTCTGTGTCCACCACCACCGTGACCGTGCCCATGACCATGCCCGTGACCATGTCCATGGCGTCCTTTTCCACAGTGCCCACCTGTAAATAGTTATTAATCAATATTTTGCACACGTGAGAGTCAAAAAAGTGTAGAGAAAGAAGTTGTGATTTACCTCGTTTATGCATTTCAAAACCTCAGACCCTGAAAGTGAAGAAAACAAAATCATAAAGATTTAAATCACAGAAGACAGATCTACGGAAGCCCTCAGAGGACATAAAGGGGAAAAAAATTCTAGTGATCTATTTTCTGATTCTGACCTAAATTTTATTTTTATTTTTTTTAATTAATGACTTGAAAAAAAAGCTAGCATTATCTTCTCTATGTTATTTTAAACTCACGTTCATACTTGTTAACACACAATTTGTAAGATGTACCGTTGCTACTTTTGGGTCAGAGTGCAAGGTGTAATAAAAACACAGCAGGGGAAACAAGGATGCTACAGTCATATATAAAACATCAAGTAGCGGTTCCTTTGGTGGACACGTTTAGGATTTCAACAAGAAAAATAAATAATTTCTAAGGGGGTAAAAAAGTGCATCGTATCATATCATATACATTTTGCAGATAACGGTAAAAAGTGATCAATAAAGGAGACAAATATTTCGATCCGAAAATGAATCAACAGATTTTGTCTGACTAGACAACTTAAAGCGTGAGATGCAATTAGATTTAAAGAACAAAACAAAACAAAACAATAGAATAAGACAAAAGTACATTTCAGGTTGATTAATTGTGGGTTCAAAAATTAAAAATGAAATAAAAAGAATGACTGTCTACAGACGTAAGCTTATTTAAATGACTCAGAGTCCGGGTGCCACAGAGCATCAACAGGTGAACTTACTGTGAGCAGGTCGTCAGATCCACAGACGCAGATTTCACCTGCTGCTGCTTTTATACGAAGCCACACCTCAACGAAAAGCAGGTCAGCGGGACCATCAGGACCAGCGCCCTTCCCCTCTAAACCCTTTAAGTCAGGGTACTGGAGGTAAATGGTGATGTATTTTAGCTGTATCATAATCCACATGTAGCTACAGATGCATACAGATTCAAAATATTTTAAAAAGGTATTCATGTTTTATTTTTGGTATTCATGCTGACATGGTGAACATTGTGTATGACAAGTTATCAGCCGCTAACATATCATTACATGAGGCACTTAATGTGATGTTCTTTTGGCCTCTGTGTTTGACAAGCATGTTTTTTTGTAAGATTTTCTCAGAGCCAGAAAAACCTGGATTTTATTATCTCAAGAGTGAACAAAGAAGAAGAAGCGTGAAGAAAGACTTTTCATATGTACAGTGTGTTCTCTTTGTGAGTCTTCACGCACGCCACGCTCTCTGTCACTCAGGTGTGGCGTATGATTGGCTTTGTGCTTTCTTTTGTTCACAATTTAGAAATAAATCTGTACACGGACACACAAAACAAAACAACATATTTCCTGGCGATAAAGAATTGAATAAAAGTTTGCCTAGCTTAGCTTAATGCTCTCTCTTCTAAACGTTTTGGACAGATGTGACTCTGTCTTAGGTCCTGAAGGATATCTTAAATAATTCACATGTATGCAAAAGTTACTTGAATATAATATGCATGTTGGTTTCTTAAATTTTTAAGTAATTTAAACTCTGTCCCTTTGTGTTAAACAGTTTTGCATAATCAAAGCCTAAATATTTTATCATTACAAGTCTTTGGTTTAAAGCTTTAGCCACCTTCTGTATCTGACTTATTCACATGCCTATTTGATTTATATGCACATATTTTCACCTTAAAAGTAAATTTGATCTCTTGTAGTGTGGAGAATTCCTCACACAGCCCTGACCTCCTTCTGTGGAAAATGTGTGGGAGGTGTTTTTTAAGCAGCCTTCTTATCAGCATCTGGTCATGCATCCGACTCTGAAGAAGCAGACGAGGGCACCAGCTCAACCAGTTACATATTTTTGTGTCTTTTATCAGGATCCCTCACTGCTGACAACACCTGTCCCCCCTGCCCCCACCTGTCTCTGCACCTCAGCAACACAAATAAACAGACACACACAGAAACACTTGTGCGATGTTTGTCGACTGTCACATTGGCATGTTCGCCTCGTCACAATAACATTCCAGTAGAGACAGAATGAGAGGTCAAAGGGTGAAATCTGGAGCCAACATTAAATACTTCTGAATTAAATCCTGCCTGGATAAATAAGGGTGTAATGACGAGAGCCTGACTTTATGTAAAGATACAGTCAGATTAAAGAGTCAGACATGGAGTTGGTCTGCTTTGTGTTGGACAGGCAAGTGCCAAACACCAGTGGTTGGCTTGTCCTAACTTGTTAAATCTTGTTAAACAATTAGCTTTTCCATTACAAAAAAATGTAGTACGGTATTATCAGGTAGCTTGCAGTGAAGGTACAAGCAGTAAACGTACACACTGAAGTCCTGCAGTGGGCGAGCGCTTCTGGTGGGGATGAGCCCAGGAGAAGGGGCCCAGTTTGAATGTTTTGTTTACAAGCTGTAACAAAGATTTCTACTAACTCTAACTTTAAAGGTCACATATTATGCAAACCACACGTTACCATGTTTCTATAACTCTAACACGTGTCCATTGTCTGTCTTCAAACCTGACTTTTGACTTTTGCCTGCTCCACTTTTCAGAAAATGTGTGCTTAAACAGGCCGTTTGTAGATTTTCCCTTCATGACATCACAAAGGGCAGTAACTCCTCCCCCCAGGTGGGTGTCACTCCCACAGCTAGGTGTTTGTTCTGCCCTCTGAGTCTGCCTTCTCACCGTAAACAATTGTGCTTAGAGCAAGAAAGCCCAAACCACATAAACCCTTCCAGAGAGGGGGCGTGGTCAGACACAGCTCATTTACATTTAAAGGTACAGACACAGAAACAGCGTGTTCTGATCAAGGCTGAAATAGAGGGGTTTATAGGCATGATCAAATACAGGATCAGAGTGGATTTAGAACAAGAAACTTCACAGACATGTTTTGGGGGCTAATATGGAGGATAATATGTGACCTTTAAAGTGTAAACTGTGTCTTAATTGCTTGCATTGTTAATATTTAATTCTGACAATCTACAGAGCTTAGGGATATCTATTTTGCTTGACAAATCAATTATTTTAAATGCATTCAACATAGTACAGAAGTTGATGAAGATCGAAATGTTGAAACTGAAATGTAGGCATGCAGCTCTGTGAAATGGGAGGAGGTGCTGAAAAATATGTGTGTCCTCTGCCAACTTCTTCACTCTGATAAAGGTTAAAACATCATGGGATGTCTCTGTGTAAAGGAGTGCCATGTGAGGCCTGTTTTTATGGTGTGAGGCTGCATTTTCTGGATATATCCATACAAATAAAATCTTGATTGCCCTGCAACATGTCTTCTATCTGTGCTGTGTCGTGCTGTGATGTGAAGCACGTTCACGGAAGATGTTTAAAAAGTTTAAAAGATGACTCTGCCAGTTGGAAGCTGGAAGTCTGGAAGTTGCCGAGGTTCACGCCATGTAGGTATAATCTATGATAATGTCACTTGTTAGTGTGTTAGTGTAGAAGAGAGGACAGATTTCACAACACCTCCTATATCCCCTTTTTAACAGGGAAACATAGTAAAGACTTTTTGACTCTTGAAAAGGCGTCATAATGTTGCAACACATAAAAAGTTTTTCCAGTTGTCGAATGTTGCAATGAGACCAAAATGTCATGTTTATATTTAACTCCTGGTTTCCCTTTTTCACATCTACATACTAGCAGATTGAGCAACACTGAGGGTGCTGGTATTGAAATCTGCACGAGGACTCACAGCTCAGTTACAGCTCTATAGAACTGCTAAAGCTGCTCTCAGTACATCGACATGCTCAGGCTTGATTAGGCCATGTAGTTGGACTACTATGCAGTTGCCTTTTTCTTGCTGTGCTTACCTGTTTATTCGGCCAAAACATCCCACAATACAGCCATTGATTCCTTGGCCTTGACCAAATCGCAGGCAGAAACATCAACATAGCTCTGGTGACGAGCTCAGAACGCCAGCTTCAGGCACAGGACCAGACCGGGATCTGACCTCTTACTCTCTAAGATTTAAAAATGCCTACAAGTTGGAAAACAAGACATCCCCCAGAAATGTAAAAGCAAAATTAAAGAACATATAAGATTAAATAATACACAAAATGTATTTAGAGATTATGAGAATAACAAAGGAATTAAATAGGTGCCGGTCCTGATCTAGGAGGTGCTGGATCCTGTTACAGCAGCTCAGATTAAGTCCTGATTACACATTACCATACAAAGAATGTCAGGCGAGCTGAAGTTCCCACATGGGTGGAAGTAATTCAGCTGCCTGCAACATGCAATCAACCTGAAACACTTTGCAAAGCTTGCTATTGTCTAGTTTCTTGTGCCAAAAATGACATTTGGTCTAAAAGGAAAACAGATAGTAATGATTAGGATACGCTGTTTGCAAGATTTGCAGGTAACAATCAACTTGCGATATTACTCAGGTATATGAATAAATCCAATCAATATAATACCATACACATTTTTTGATTCTTATTGTAATTTATTGGGACATAAGGCAACATGGACATGAATGCTTTTCTACTCTTCATTAACCACTAGTGCACATGTACTGGGTGTTTTGGATAGCAGCAGGTTTTTACAAAAGATGTGTAAGTAGAAGATGTGGTCGACGTTGAAATGTTAACAGAAAGTAAATTAAACAATGAAACATGTTCATTTGTTTTGTGTATTAACCTCTGAAAACACGGCTGAACATTCGAACACTAAAAGATCTTCAGCTAGAAGTTATACAGACTTTGAACCCTAACAGCTTTTTATTAACTATCATACAGAAACGATAACAGAATGTACACTTTACATTGATTGTGAACATCTGTGACTGTTGTTGAATTTTGATTCAGTTGTAAACATTGTGTCTCTCCGTCATGACGGATCTGATGAACCAGGAACTCTTTCAAATGTTCTCTACAGCTTGACCTTCCCGGCCAGCGGACTGCTGGGGAATAAGTTTGAGAAGCGGCCGAGCGTCCAGACGGGGAAGACGTTTCTGTAGGAGGTGTAGCTGATAGCACAGCTCTTGTTGAACACACCTGCAATATTCTCCTGGGAAGGAAACAAAATCACAGATGAATCAAACACACCCGTTTCATATAATTAACAGATTAAAATGTTTAGATATTTAAAATGAGGCTGCGAGAGGCAGTAGGGGTTGTAAAATAGCTTCATGGTGTTCTTCTCTTTTTCACTTATTTAAGACCATATTTATGTCCATTTATGTCCTCATTTATAACCATCAGAACATGTGCATTATGGGTAATGTGCAATATATGTTGTTTGTGGTTTTCATTGGTTTTGTGATATTTGTTACTTGACATATACAGTATATTTACTATTTTGAAAGCAGCTGAATGTGTACAGCACTGGAGTCCAAGACTGTATTGTATTGTACCGTACCGTATCATAACGTACTATACTGTACTGTATCCTATTCTATTGTAATGAAATATATTCCGATATTTACCTGTGGCCAGTCTCCATTGGGCAGCTGTTTGTCAATCAGCAGCTGTACTCCTCTCTCTATGGCTCGTCTGTCTGGATGCCTGATGAATGGTAAAAGAAAATAAATAAATTGAAATGAACACATGTTTATTTGTCAAATGTTACTGTCCATTGCTGGAGGATCAAAAACAAAAAACAACGGATACAAACAGAAACAAGATTAAAAACAAGGAAAACAAACTAAACACTACCAATATTATAAAGTACAGCTTTACCAGTGTGTCCACAGGGACGACTGGTATAACACAGCACTATGACTGAGATTCTTCAGCAGCATTATAATGAAGTTAAGAGAGTCATTCAGCTGCAGAATACATTTGTTCATTAAGTTTCTATAAAGAGCCTGAAAAGTGTTGACTCCTGCATCACAAAACAGTTCACCTGCACAAGCCCATCACGTTTTATTTTTTTAAGTAGTAACCTCATTGAATCATTATAAAAAACATTAAGTCTTTTTAAGTTTGCCTTTTATACATTTCATAGGGGCAATATAAAGAGGAGTGTGATATGCTCCAAAGAGACTTATTGTGACATCGTCTGAACTGATTTTAGGTATTTACCTGAATATACCATTTTCAGCACTGTCTATATGTCATCATCATAAGACATTTGAGACCTTTTTTTTTTTTTTTCGCTACATGCACTCCTGAATGTTCTAGATAATTTCAGGAGTACTGCCCCTGAAATCCTTCTGATCTGGTTGCTCACACATGCACCTCACAGCGGGATAACAGCCCTGTTGGATGCATACTTAGCATTTTAGTATAATGTACAATATTTTTTTTGTTAGGATAAATAAAATATTTTAAAGGAGGAAAGGCCTCACCTCGCAGCCATGAGGCCTAACAGTGCCCAGCAGGTGTTGTGGATCTGGGCGGTGCTGCTCTGGATGTAGCACCGCTGCTCGCATGACTCAAAGTCCTCCCCCCATCCTCCGTCTGGCATCTGCCGGTCCAGCAGGAACTGACAGGCTTTCTGCACCTCTACACACGCATCCCTAGTTACAAAGATACCACAGTGTCATTAGGTATGTGAGTGAGTCCTTCATGGAGGTCCTGTGAGGCTTGAAAAGTTCAGGAGAACACAGTCTCCTTGTTGTTGCTAGTAAAAAGTGACGCTTGTGATGACGTGTTTGCATTTCTTACTCATCTGTGTAGACGTGGCCCATACAAGCAAAGGCCTCAAGGCCAAACCAGATCCCATATGTGAAGCAGACTCCCCAGGACCTGAGCAGGAACACAAAATGATTACTTCTTATTCAGCATGACTGATTTATTTGGTATGATATCAGACAGTAAATCAGAATGTGTAGTCCTACCCTTCCCAGGATCCATCAGGCCTCTGCACCTTCCTGCAGTACTCCAGTCCATCCCTTAAAGTGGAGCTGTCAAAGAAAAACAAATCACATACACAGAAAAGACCCAGAGCATCCAAAGTTAACACTTCCATTCAAGCTGAGAAGAACTTTTTTGTGGATGTTCTGCCCCTATGCCCATTTAAGACAAATACAAAGATATGTGCATGTTTCATTTACTCCAGCCGATAAATCAAAGGTTTGTGTCAAATGTGGAAACTGTATGAGTGTGTCTTTATGTGTGTAGTGTACCTTATTTCCCCAGCTCGGTGATCAGGGTAGGCTTTCTGGAAGTGCCTCAGGGCCTGCATTGTTGCTGAGGTACACTCCACATAGGTGTAATCTATCATGATGTCACCTGTTAGTGTTCACAGGTGTCAGAGAGAGAGGAGAGACAAATCACACAACACCTTCTATTAGATATGCACGGATGCATCATATCAATGTCAGTATGCAGTAGGTCGATATCAGCCTTGTTAACTAATGGGGAAACAATGTGGCATGAACCGATGTCAGTAAGCGATCCTTGTGCCAAACCAATTTAACGCTAACATCTAGTTAATCTAACCCCTGATTAAGAGAGGAGGTTTTTTTATTGGGCAGATGAAGTCAGCTGATGAACAAAGTCTGACTTGTTTTCATTCGCAAAGATGATGAAGATGTCATCAGCATCGAAATCAGCAATCGGCAAAAATGTTATTTCACCGATTTGTATATGCATCAGCAATTGGTGCATCTCAACCTAAAACAGGGAAACATAATGTTTGACTCTTTGCCCTTCCATATTGAAAAAGGTCATAACATTGCAACACATGGAGCGCAATGGAAACAGTTCTCCAGCTGTTGAATGTTGAAATGAGACACTAAGGTCATTTTTTTCATATGAACCTTTGTTTCCCCATTTTCAGACCAGCGTATTTGCAGGTTGAAAAACACTGACAGTCCTAACAGTGAACTCTTGTTGAGGACTCACGGCTCAGGCACGATGCTGTTTTCACAAAACATTTCACCATGACTTTTTTATATAATGGCTTCTTCTTTAGTGTTAGCCATTAGCCTACAGTCAGAACAAATGGTAAACTTAAAGATGACTGGAGATAGGAGCGCTGTGCATTGACTGGGGGTTTGACCGTAACAGACTTACCGAACACCTCGGAGGGGTTGAGCAGCTCCAGCAGTTTCCCTCCTCTCTTTGTTTCATATGTGGCAAATCCACCATCAGGGTTTCTCATGCTTAGCAGCTACAAGAGACAGAAACAGTAGAGAATACCTGAAATACTCCATCGTACAGTAGAGTTGTTCAAGAGTTTTTAATTTTGATAGCAAACATATCAATACTTGTTTTTATACTACACCAATAAAAATAGAAGTCCCTGGCACCCAATATCGGGGGAGCTCTTGTTTTAATTTTTTAAATTGCAGACCCACTCCTGCACACTTTTAATTCACCAGGACAAATTTAGACAGTGTGTAGAGTTTACATCGGTTCATTTCTCACCTACACACCTGGCTTATCCTTATGAAGTAGTTCTTAAAGCTTTGGTACTTTTTGATACTACAGATAATTAGAATATGTACTCGTAATATGTAATACTCTATGAGGCCTTAGTGTGCATTTTTCTTGTAAATGTTGTACTTTCATGTGAGGTTGATCAGACTGGTTTCAGTTGTCCCTTTTTCCATAGTTATCATATATATATACATAATAAATGTATTTCTAAATCTGCTTATACTTAGTTCCTCCTTCTTTTCCCTTATTTTATTGTTACTATTGTTAGCCATCTCGGGGAATGTAACAATAACAAAATGTGTACTAGTCTTTCCTTCTCATATCTTCAGCTGACTCACCACATTGACAGCATCATATAAACGCTCTGAGGCGACACTCTGGCCGATGGAGGGACAGAGCTCCTGCAGCAGCATCACAGACTTCAGACCCTCGGCCGTGCAGTCAGCCACGATCCAGCCACAGTCACGTGTACTGAAGGGGAATCCTCCCTAAAACCAAAACAGTCTTTAGTAAAGACTTAAAGAGCATGCACGTAAATGACAGGATAATAAATGTTTTCAGAGACTATTTTTTCTTCCCATTAGAGTCTATTCAGCAATATTTAAAAATGCAGTTCTTGATATTAATTTTACCTTGTTCATCTGTCGGTAGTATTTTTGATACTCAGGAGGATTCTCGGGTATCTATAGGAGTAGATTCAAGTAGTCAGACATTGGTCTTTGTTTTGCACATTTAAATGTATCAGCTAGAGATAACTGAAGGTTGAATAATAATAATTATATATCGTATTATTCCTCTTCACCAAAGAAAATTAACTGACGTTGGAGGTACCTGTGTTATTCTGAGAAATTCATGGGCATTGCGGAGGCAGTCGGCTAGTCTCGGGTTATCCTGAGCTCCTGCCTGAAAGTTAAAACAAACAACTTATCATAACCAGCTCCATGACTTCCATCCAATATTGGGGAATCAGGCAAATCTGCCATTTCCATTACTAGTAAAGTAAAAATTTCTTGCAGAGAACCAATTATATGTGCTAAACAAAGAGGTTATGGTTAATAATTCCAATGCAAATCCATCCCATGACTTGGGGTTGAAACTTGTCATGTCATGCAAATCATCCTTGGGGGGTTACAGTATATCACTAACAGGGGTGTGTCCAGAGGGGGGGGGGGGGCTTCAAATCTGATTGGCCACTCAGGTGCCACCGCAAAATGAATATATTTATCACCTGAGGTTGTCTGGTTAGTATACTAGAGTTATACTAGTCTCATATAGGGCATTTAAAGATCTATCCATTAAGATTTTGTTTAGCTTGTATACAGATAACAGTATTGTTCTATGTGTTAACAACTGCGATGCTTGCTTTAATCAGTTCTTTAATGCTTAAAAAGACTTTAGAGAGATTAGAGTTAATGAAGAAGGCTGCAGCTAGATACTAAGAAAGAAAACATTTGAGGAAATAACATCTGTTTATAATTCTTTATAATATCTGCTCCTTGTTTTTATCTGTTGAGGAAGTCATGTGTGCTTAATTAAAGAATTTTGTGTAATATAACACTGCAAAATATGAGTTGATGTTTTTGTGTTACCTCAAGGAAAGCTTGAACAGCAAAGCATGTGTCCCAGAGCTGAGATCCATTTGTGCCCTGTGAAAAAAAGTGCAACATTGAAGTCTCTTATCACACTGAAACCTGTATTGAAGAACAGTTTACAAACTGTGGAAACAACAAACTTATAAAAAAGTATCTGAAAAGCGAAAAAGTTAAAGTTTTATGAGGTTGTTTTCAGCCCACTTTCCATTTCCCATAGCTCATATGAACATCACAGGATCCTTTACTCTGAGCCCTTCTTTTCCTTAAGGGTTTAATTTAAGCTCTAATAGCATCATGATTGACCTTTATTACCTTAAAAATAAAACTACTGTACAGGAGCAGAGTGAATTCTCACCTGCATTTTCAGGCCATCCAGTCCCAACCTGGAACACAGAAAAAAAACATTCTGGTTAAAAATTTAATTATTTTAAATAAAACATTTACTAAATTAGTCATTACAAACCTGAATATCCTGCACATGAACTCCATGAAGTATCAGAGACACATTAAAGAAATAAATCAAAGATTTCCAGAATAAGGTTGTTATGTTGAGTGAATAGTCAAGAAGAAAGTCTGAAAATGAATTGGCTCTCATATCACAACTTTTTTTAAACTATGACTTAATATAATAATTTATGAAAATCTTCTTTTAAGATTTATTTTTGGGCTTTTTGGGCCTTTATTGTAGGGATAGGACAGAGGATACAGTTGGAAATCAGGGAGAGAGAGAGTGTGGGGAATGATATGCCAGAAAGGAGCCACCAGTCGGATACGAACCTGGGTCGCCCATTTATTCCAGCTGTCCCTGGATATATGTAACAGATATATGGTATGTGTTTGATGTTAAAAAATCAACTGACTGACCAGAGGTAGTCTGGGATCCTGGACACGTGCTCCTGAAAGACCGGAGAGGAGGGACCATCCACATACCAGCGGACCAGCATGTTGATAGTCTTAGATATCTGAGGAAGTAGGAGGCATAGATTCCATGTTCACACCCTTCTTGTTATTAAACAAGTTGTTAATCAGGATCATGTAAAGACCTGTGAATAAAGTACATAACAGATAACATGTTGTACTTTATTAACCCTGCTACCCATGTTCAGTACTTTGTGTATATTACCGGGCCGATGCTGATGCATTTAGTGAAGCGGTCGTCAGCTTGGATGTGATCATACAGCTCTTTGACGGCCTTTCCTCTCAGCATGGTGCTGTGGTGGGCTTCATAAACATTCAACACCACTGCAGAGGAACAGAGTCATGAGGTCAGGAGGTGATTCATACAGCAACATGTAGGGGGATACCAGTGGAAGAAAAGTCAGTCATATCCTGTTGTCAGGGATTTCCCTCAGGTTTTTTTTTTTCATTTATTTTTCATGTCTTACTTCAGTGCGTGTGGTTGAATTGTGCAAAACTTTGTGTTTCATCACCGTTATGGTGAGTCAGACTTTGTTTGTGATGAACAGAGCAGAAGCAATCTTACAACCAAGAGGCCACTGGAGAGAACGTGAAGTCAACCCATGATTTTAACTCATTATAGGTAATCATCTTAAAAACACCTACGGAAAGGGGTGCCGGTAGTCTAGTGGTTAGTGCGCGCCCTATGTACGGAGGCTATAGTCCTCCAGGCGAGCAGTCTGGGTTCGAGTCCAACTTGTGGCTCCTTTCCTGCACAACGTTCCCCACTCTCTCTCTCTCCCACATTTCTGACTCTGTCCACTGATCTGTCTCTAAAAGAAAGGCATAAATAACCCCAAAAAACCAAACACCTACAAAACACGAGAGACTGACCTAAAAACTATACTTTAGGATGTAAACAAACAAATAAAGTAAAAAAAAACTAAACACAAAAGCGTCCGCATTCCCCATTCACCTGTGACTCCCTTTTTGTTGCCTGTAGCTGTGATCACCGCCTATGAAGAGGTGCGCAGGTGACGTAGCTGTAGCAGCAGAAGCAGCAATATTTCCCTGCACTATTTACTGGTCTAACCACGCACAGATCAAAGTGGCGACAACAACCAGCGCTAGTGTTTCCAAAGTATCCAGTTTGAGTACTCAGATAACTTTTTTTGTTGGAATGAGTAACGAAACACGTTAGTTCTGCAACTCAATTCATCTGTTATTTAGTTATATTTTTTCTTAAAAGTAAGTAAAGTAAGCAAGCGACAGAGGCAGAAGGGACAGTATTGACTTTGTGGAAATTTCCAGTCTGTTGAATTTTTGGAAGAAAGTGATTAGGTTGAAATGTAAGTGTTGTTTTTATTGACCCAGCCGTGCCTAATACTGCACGTCCCTGCACAGTTCACTGTCAGATTGTTGGTGTAATAAAGAGCTGTAAAGGTTATCATGTCTGTTGTTCCTGTTATTAGGCTGCAGAGTTAAAGATTATAGGTAGTAAAGTAGCCTGTTGAATGACGGCACAGTGGATACATTTAAAGGTAAACGTGTAGTGCTGCATGCTTTCAGGACAATACACCCAACATGTGTTAACTTAAAGGAGACATATTATGAAAAATCCACTTGTACAGTGTTTTTGAACATATATTTGGGTAACCTGAGTGTCTACCGACCCACTAAATGTGAAATAAACCCATCCAGTCCTTTGTTTGTGGTCTGCACAAGTCTTACAACACAGAGAAAAATGCTCAGTTTCAAATTTGAGTGTGGTAAAAAAAATCCCCTCCCCTCCCATTCCCTGATATCGCCACCCATGGACTCCACCCCCGCCTAGAACAAAACTTTATCTTATATTATTCTTATCCTTGCTACAGAGGAGTGATGTCTACAGGGAAAACTCAGCGGGGGGCTCATTGCATTTAAAGAGACACACACATCAAAACGGAGCGTTCTGAGAGAGCTGGTTTATACAGGGTCACAAACCTCCTCTGGTGCTTGATTCATGTTATATTTTGACCAAAGCACAGCACAGATGTTACACTGTAATGTAGCGAGTGACTGTTCAAAGTAACATTACCCAACTCAGAGTTTAACACAACAGTATATGTCAGGTAACTGCATTTAAAGTGTGCAAACAGTCATGACTACTCCCTGTGTAACAGCCACATACAGCAGCAGGCGGTATTATATCATCACATTGCGCCGTGCGCCGCTCATACTTACTGTAGGCGACTGTGAGCAGAGTGCTGTGAGGCGTGTACATGTCACATGCTGCCACATTGCTCCTCTGGGCGGGCCAGTTAATGGAGGAGTAGTCCTGGACATACAGCTCCTACAGAACAAACATGACATTTTATGTATACATTACAAAGTAGTCATGATTGAGGAAGTGGTCAATATCTCAGCTCAGTCCAAGAAAAACAAGATGTGGCTGCTCTCTCTGTAGAGTTAAAAATAAAAAGATGAAAAGAAAAGTAAACCCTATGAATTTCCCCTCTTTGTGTTCAAGTTCAGTGTTTCTTTCTAAGACTTCTGGTGTGAATGTACTGAATAGGGCGCCCCCTTGTGGGAGAAGATGAGTCCAGCACCTGTCTGAGGCTGAGGACCAGGGCGTCCTCGTCTGCAGCCAGTCTGACAGCGTAGCAGTAGCTCATGGGAAGGTAGACCTGCCGACAGTGACACCACAGGGTGGAGGGGTGAGCGGGCATCCACGTCGGGAAAAGCCTGGAACAGAGAAAAAACAACTTCAACAACTACGGTTCCTTCACTAAAATTTAAATCAATGCACTTGTTTTTTTTCCACAATGATGACCCTAAGAACTTAATCATCAATGAAACATGAATGTAGGGGAAAAGTCTCAACTATGATTTGAAGGCGGAAAATGTAAACACCTCTCATAAAGATAATAATGTATATAAAGAAAATGTTATGTCCCTTTTTAAACCTTTAAGAATACAATCTGTTTCCGGTCAAGTCCTTTCTTCTACCATGCAAACCTAATGGTGACCATGGTTTAAAAAAACAAGAGCAACACCCACAAGAGCGCCAATCACATATCACAGACTCATTTTATTGTAACAATGACTGAAGAAATTGATCCTGTTTTCCTCTCACCTGGAGTGAGTTCCTGCATTAAGATTGCTTTAGAGTAATAAAGAATAAGAGAGGATTAAATAGGACATGATGTGATTTAAGGCTAAAGTAACTCACCACATCTCCGGCAGCAGCGTGTTCATCCCCTCCCAGCTGTAGACATTTAAAATGGACAACCAGAATTTACCCCAGGAGGGAATCCCCACAGCGCCACCTAGGGTATAAAAAAAAAAGTTGAAATGTTTGATCTAAATTGGATTGTTAGCGGGGCTATGATGCAGATATCTGTTCATAGAAACAATCATATCTTCATCAGAAAGCAGAGAGGAGCTTAACTACGCACACACCTTTACTGTGCAGGTTGTTCCTGGCTCGGGTCATATCTGGATCATCAGGCTCGACTCCCAGGATCCTTAAAGAGGTGTAACTCAGCGATGTGCCGAAGACGGTCGACTTATCTTCAATATGTCTGAAGAAACAATAAGAAAAACATCAACAACAAGTAGTCCTACTATAGAGTTGTATATTATAATGTTTAGCTAAGACGATCAACAAACACTTCTGTTTATAGTCACACCAGTCTGACTGCACCTTTTTAAATCATATCAAGACGTTACAGTTCATGACTAACTATTTCTAATAATCACTTGAATATGCTGACCCAGTCTCCTCTCCTGTCGTCAAAAGTAATAGGATACCATACAATACACTTTAATGTCCCCTTGGAGAAATTTGTCTTGGACTCTTAATTTTTGGAGGCCACCTTTAATTGTTTTATGTATAGACCATACCTCTTACAGTAACCAGTGACCTTCCTTTACAGTACTACACACATGAGAACTTGTCACAGTAGAAGTTTAAAAGTGATTTAGTATGTGTGTATAGCAAGAGAAATAACGTGTGTGGTTGACTTACAGGCCCCAGCCTCCGTCTGGCAGCTGAACGGAGCGCAGGTACCTCACCATCTCTTTCTTCCAGGCCTCGGGCAGAGGGATCTTAGCCACATGGCACGTGATCAGGAGACCTGAAGCACAGAAAAAAAACATTCATACATTCACAGAAGAGCATGCACAGACAGCATGTATCCTCTGCTGCAGCCGACAAAACCTGACAAAACATGGACAATACGTTTTTTGTTTTTTTAGATGGCTTATGTACGGTGGCTGACAAATAATCAACAGCCAAAAAAATTCGGAAAACAAGCTGCAAATTTGTAATCCATCCATCCATGATCTTCCGCTTATCCAGGGCTGGGTCATGAGCTTTGAGTAGAGACTGAAAGAAGGGTCCTCCGAAGGTCGGCTGGGCTCAACCCTAGAAATAGGGTGAGGAGCTCGGACATCTGGAGGGAGCTCATAGAAGAGCGGCTGCTGCTTGGCATTGAAAGACCCCGTTGAGGGTGTTCAGGCATCCGATGAGGATGCTTCCTGTCGCCTGTCTTTGGAGGTTTTCTGGGCCATAGATTACAACTGGGAGGAGACCCCAGGGTAGACCCAGAACGTGCTGGAGGGATTATATATCCTTTCTGGCTTTGGAGCACTTTGTGGAGCTAGAAAATGTTGCTGGGGAAACTTGCTTAGCCTGCTGCCACCGCGACCCGGCAAATTTGTAATACAAATGCAAAATTCAGTGGTGGAAATCCAAAGGGCAGCAAAAAGCCAAAACACCTGCATTACCAGCAAGCATGCTGCAAATACATAGACAATGCAAAGTCAAAAACACACAAACACTGAAATCAACAGCAAAAAGAAATGGTGCAAATCCAGCCGTCTCAGTGGAAGTACATTAATCCTCTGCAGTTTCTCAGAGGTACAGTTTTATTATTGACAAGAGAAAATACAGAGAGCTTAGCTTTACCTGGGAGCAGGAAGAGAGGTCCTCCATAGTCCCCGGCCCAGTGACCGTCCTCGGCCTGGAGGTGGCTGTAGAAGTTCATCCCCTTCAAAGCTACATCTACAGCTGTGTGGGCGGCCGCGGAGCCGGACACAAACTTACTCTGTGGAGAGAAACATGACTTCTGAGTTAACACAGGTTAACTTGTACTGTGTTTGTTATAGGATGGTTATTTTTTTATTTACCAGGAAAACTGTTTGTTGATTTAAATTTCAGTTTACACACCCAAGTCCATGTGCTAATTTTCATTCATAATACCTGGGAAGGTCGTTACAAACTTTGAATATAGACTAGTCAACTCAAAGAGGACCTAAAACATTCAAAGCTCACCGTGTCCAGGCCCAGACAATGGGCCTCCAGCATGGTCTGCTCTCTCTCCGGATCTTCCTGGTCCTCCACATAACGCCACGTCTGCCTGCCCTCCACGTTACTCAGCCTCCAGCGGCTCAGGTCTGTGGCTGGCTCCGTCCTGTATGGCCCCCCTCGCCTCCGCAGGTGCCTACAAGGTTACAAGGTACAACAAGCAGAGCAAGAGCCGCACAGGAGTCTGAGACCAATTTTATAAAGGGGGGGGGGGGAATACTTATATCACATAGAGTGGGGATGTACAGGATCCTGTGTGTGTGTGTGTGTGTGTGTGTGTGTGTGTGTGTTTAAGCCTTTGTGTGTGTAGCATAGACTGTATTGTGTGTCGTATGTCGAGTCTGAGAAGACTAGACTTGTGTGTTTTGACTTTCAAGTCAAAATGTAAATAAAAATAAAAACGTTATGTCATGGTTTAATCTTGTCTGGTTAGTTTATTCCTTGTTTTGTTGCCTAGTTGTAATTTTCTTTCTATCCTAGTGTTGCTTGTTTCATATTGTATTATTTCCTAGTTTAGTGAGTAGTATTTATTTTAATTGAACATATTCATTTTATTATATTAACAGGGATGTTTTGATCCATGTCTTCCACCTGACAGATTGATTTTACTAACAGGAGACCTGTTTGTTCATCCTGAGAAAACAGCATCAAATTTACTAAAAAGCGAAAAGAAAGGATAGAAAAATCAAAACAAATGAATTGTAACTACAGTGTAGTTCACTCACAGACTGCCTACATGTTGAATTTAACTTATTTTGGTACAGTTCATCATTTGAATCAATGCATAAACCTTCTTTCCGGCTAAAAACAGATAAAAAGAGTTACTTACGTTCCCTCCGTCATCTCTGAAAGCTGCAGAATCAGAGTTAAATCCGCTCAACTACATTCATTCATGTCTTTTCGGCTGTTCCTCAGGTTTTGCCCCTTTTACTGCTTTTCTGGGAATTGTAGTTCTGTGAGAAAAGTTCCTCTCCATGTGTATTACAATTCAGACTTCGTTTCCCAGCGTACCTCGCGGTGCCGTCCGAGGAGTTCTCCACATGGAGAGACATGAGCAGAGACCCAGCTGGCCAATCAGAACGCGCCTGGGCGGAGAAATGGGCGGGTCAGCCGTAAGGTCCGCCAATCAGAGCGCTACCACGACAAACTCTACACATGTGCTTATTTTGTTGTGGAAGCCTTGACAGGACCATGATATTAGGCGGTACACCATTGAGAAAAATACTTTGATATTTGATAATAAACACAACCTCATGGTGACAGAAAAGGTGGAGCTTTTAGTTTCAGCAGGATTCATCATCCAGGGACAACGAAAATTGATTTAATGAGAGGGTTTATTCACCCTGAATTAGCTACAAGTTATCTTAAGTTTTTAAACACACCTGTTCTTTACTTTTTACAGTCTATGATTTCACCTGACAGTAATGATTTAAATGCATTTGGAAACACAAGTGTAACTTCTGCTTATTGAACTCAACTTACTGAAGAGAAGAAAAATGGTAAAGACTACAAAACAGAACAAAAAACACACTGAATTTTTTTCTACTTGATATTTAATGATTTCTAAAACAGCTCGATACTTTTTGACACTGAAAGAAAACTGAATGTGTTCCCCTTTTCTTGATCTAAAAAATACAGTATTATATATTTTTTACACTCACATATACACAAACATTTAGTCAGTCACACTTTATTAAACATTTTAACCATAAACAATGGTATAAATATGGAAATATATCTCTGAAGTTCAGGCACTGTATTTTTGTTTTACTACAGCAGCAGGACTTCATGTTCCTGAAAGGCAGATCAAGCTTATGCAAAATATTATCTTTAGTAAAATAGTAAATGTAATGTTTGTAAAACCCCGAGATTAAATAGGCGGGCAACGACGTAGCAATGTATATGCTATTAATCCAGAGGCTGCCGGTTACATTCACAAAACAGTGTAACTAACCATGACTGCTCTATATAAATGTGACACCCATAGATGGCGTTGTTGCTTCACTTAAAGCTGTCATCAACATTACAGTAAACACCAACATTTTGGAAGACAAACATCTTATATTTTCCCACAAAACTAAACATTTCCCTAAATACTAAATACATAAATCAGAATCTTAATTCCCCTGTAAATCAGAGGTCTAATCAACTGGTCTAGTACAGAGGTATTATGATGCAGCACACAGGTTTAATGACTAATCAAAAATCCAATTCATATCTTTACAATCAGCTTTTATCTTGAGATTTGTATGACACATTTGTTCCATCACTATAAACAAAGAGCACCTCCTCCATGGGCCCGTCATGTAGAGTGAGTGACAGGTACTTTTTAAATCCATAGAATAGATTTGAGTTTCTTGATAAATTGGCAGCATATTTTTATTTTTACTTCTCTTTGTTTTAGTTTTTTTTTGCTGTAATACTGACGCCTTGTCCAGTAAATGTTCCTCAAGCTTGATGAACAAAATGTTAATATTTTGAAACCTGCCTGAAAATGTGTTGAGTCGGGTTTAATGTCTCAGAATCAGGCAAAACTTTGAGGATCCACAGAGGTGAACTGGAGAGATGGGGTGCAGACTCCATGGTAGGGGGGTAAGAGTAAATCAGGGAAGAGTTCCTTTATCAGTTTTTGATGCTCCATCTACAAGAAACAAACATACTTTCTGTAATCTGACTGCAAAGGACAATCATTCTCATTGATGAAGACATTTAATCTGTGTTTCTTTGAAAACATGTGAATACTGTAATGGTGAAACTTGTATGATTCTATCTTACCAATGGATCAAACATTTAAAACAAGTAGGCTGCAGGATATTTACTCTTGCTTTAAAATGTCAAACCCACACTAGTGTCCTGGGAGTCCGTGTCCATCATTTCCAGCTCTCGAGTGGGAGATGGAGGTGGTGTAGGATTCCTGTAAAAAAAACACATCGATTAAAGCAACAATTTCCTTTAAAGCTTTGAACAATAGAGAAAAAAAACTGTTCTCAGGAAAGGACATAAAACAATGGTGAGAGGACTAAGAGTTATATTACTGTTGGGCATATTGAAAGCATTTATTCAGAATTGTTTTTGTCCTATTAGGGAGTAATAGGGCAACATAAAAATATATACATATACATATATATATATTTCAAGATTTCAAGATTAACGTTGTGATGCGTCGGTAGCCTACACAAGTAAAATACTTGTGTTTTCTTACTTACTCTGAAACAGGAATGAAGTTTTTGGGCACGTATCCATGCTTGCTGTTTTTAGGTGCTGTTGTTTCTGCGTAAGAAGAGGTGATTAAGAGGTTAGCACATGCTCATTTGATTTGATCTCAGAGGAAAAGTCGAGACCGAGACATTACCTGATCCACTGTAGTAGCGTCTGAAGGCAGTGTCTTTGTGGATATCTGGGTAAAGGTAGAGCAGAGGGTTCCTGTTGGTGTTCTTCTGAGCTTTCAGGCTGTAGTTGTAAATGATGTCAGGCAGAGAGTTGACTGACAGCTCCTGCTTTATGTACGGATCGACTGCATGCACTTGGGTCCCTGTGCAGAAAGACAAAGAAAACACACATCTGAACATCTGAGGTGAAAATAGTGAAAATAGATATGCTCATAAAAATGGTACAAATTGAATACTTGGAAACTTCACAATAAACCCATCATTTGCCAGAGAAACCTTCAATGCTCAAACTGTGGTTTTCAATGATTTCCAGACACACATATTAGTACAGAAACATACCACCATTGGAGTGCTCCACCCAGCTGAAGGTGATGGCTCCGTCTTTGTTGCTCTCACTAAAGCGAAGCAGAAATGTGCCATTCGGTTTTGCCTTCAGCAGTTCCTCTGTTCTGGTTCTGGTCACGAACCCCATGATGGACCTGACACCCCAAAACAGAGCAGAGGTTACTTCGACTTCTGTAGAAATAATACAAAAATAGTCAGATGACAGTTTTATGGTTTCAGAGGTTACATCTGTAGATTATGGTGTTATACAAAATGTGATAACTTTACATTCCTTCTTTTATTGTGTCTTACCCATCCCGCCAAATATCCGCCAGGTGTTTTTTAATCAAATCCAGAATCCCATCTATCCAAAACCAGGCACTGGACTCGTTCTTATCACACTGGCAGAAAAAAGTCACCATGTATAGAAGCAGGGGGGTTAATCACAACGAACACAAACACAATAAAAAAAAAAACTCCAGGGTCCTAAAGATTGAGCCCGTGGTGTGAATTTAGGTCTAAGAAGATCATCGCTCACCTTTGAGAAATCTTTCCAGTGAACAAGATCATCAGGATTGTCTGTGAAGAAACCACAAACTACATTTATATGTCATAAATATAACAAGACATACAGTGGAGAAATTCAAATATAATCCTTATATCTAATTTCAAGGGGCTGCACGCTGGTGCATTGGTTAGCGAGGAGGTTCCTGGTTTGATTCCCCATCTGACAGGAGCCTCTCTGTGTGGAGTTTGCATGTTCTCCCTGTGCACGCGTGGGTTCTCTCCGGGTACTCCGGCTTCCTCCCACAGTCCAGAGACATGCTCGTTAGGTTAAATGGTGACTCTAAATTGTCCGTAGGTGTGAATGTGAGTGTGGCTGGTTGTCTGTCTCTGTATGTCTGCTCTGTGATTGGCTGGAGAACAGTCCATGGTGTACCCCACCTCTCGCCCAATGACAGCTGGGATCAGCTCCAGCCCCCAGCGACCCCGAACAGGAAACGCGGTAAAGATAACGGATGGATCTAATGTCAAATCAAGAAGTGAGAGCAAGGTTTGATATAAAAGCTAAGAACACAATCACTGTCTGTGTACTCCTCAGTCCTTTTATTTTGTGACGATGTCTGGAAAGACGATGGGAATGATAAATACTGTCACCATTTTCTTTTCTTTTATGGCACTGATAGTGTTCATATTCATGACAGAGACAGCGGAGAGAATCCGTCTTTACATCCAACTCCTGTCCAGAAAGCATCTTTCTCAAAATGTGGAACTTTTCCTTCAACATGAACTTTCTCATAAGAGTAGAGAATATTTTATTGAATTCTCCTTCTAATCCTTTACATCGACCTGCATAACAAGAGGTGACCTATGTTTTAAGAAAAAAACATGAAAAAGTAAAGTTTGATGGGACTGAAGAAGTGTTCATACACTCACCAACAAACTTGTCTCTCAGCGTGGAGAGCTGGTCATTATTGAGCTCCAGTTGGCCGGCGGACAAAAACTGCCAGCTCAGAACCTGAGACAGCTGCTCCCAGGTGAGTGAGGGAGGTGTGAGAAACAGCGACAGATCCTACAGAACAAACACACACAAACACACGTTTCACACAAATTGTTCTGCAGTGACTCAACTCTACGTATCTATGTACGTGTGGACATTCACAGGAACCGGTTTTCATCTTTACAGTGTGACAAGTTTTAAGGCAGGGTTGGTAATGATGGAAATTTAAAAACTAGCATGATTTTGAAAGTGGCATTCCCTCAGTGCTTCGTCTACACCCCCTCCCCTCTGTGCTCCCTCAAAAGCCACGCCCCCTCACTAACATGCATGAGCGCCGTTGCTCCAGAAGTGGACCTCAGCTCATCACTTGCATTGTGTAGAAACTATGTCGTCTCATGTCTCATTCAGCGGTAAGTGAACTCACAGTATAAACTCTGTCATCAGTGACGTGCTTTGAGTGTGAGCTAGTGTACGCAAGGAGTAGAGAGCGAGCAGGGAGACAGGGAGGTGTGATTGGTTTACCAGATTGGTACCTCATGGCAGACATTGGTCAAAGTTTTTACAGGCTTACAACTGCTACAGATGACAGATTTTCTTTGTTCCTTTTTCAGAGCACAAGTTATTCATTTCTGTCAGGACCTAAAGACAATTTCAACAAAAATCTTAAAAAAGTAGATCTGGAAGAAATTACCCACCCTGCCTTTAAGGATGATGTTGTGACAACATTTTTAAACCATATCTCTAATTTATCACATTTTAAGGTCTAAACATTTTTTTTGATTTTTTTTTTTTAATTGCTTCAGTTGAATTCTGCACAGAGGAGGGAAAATAAAATAAAATACAGAAAAACAAAACAATGAAAACTAAAAAGCAACACATAAATAAATAACATCTACTCATTTGAAAACAATATATGACTCAGTACAACACTTGCCTTTAGGAGCAATGTATCATATTTATGATTAACTTGTAAGTCTGTGCTGTGATCCTGAAAACAGAACAAATCCAGAGTGTTGTGCTTACCCTTTGTTCACCGTTGGACAGCATGTTGTACCACATCACCGAGGCCCAGGCAGCAGGGACCTGATTGGTACTGGAGATGACAACCAGAGGCAGGGAGCTGGTCTAGAGCAACACAGGAGGAGGAAGAGAAGGAGACTGTTAATCTTTACAAACTTGAACCGCCTCCGATTAATTTGAGCAGCAACTTGTCTCACCTCGATGTCACACTCCAGTCCAGGGTGCTTAAACGCTATCACAAACTTAATGATGTGGAGCTCTTCAAAGACTGTCAGATGGCGCTGATCTTCTTCACTCTGGTTTCTTTTCCTTTTGCCTGCCGGTCTATCCACCACTTTGGTCTGAAAATATTCCAACAAATTGCTCGATTATGAGGGGGAAAAAACCCCAAAGCTATACATATTTGGCATGTTAGCATATAGTTAGCATGGTTGCAAACAATACATATGTGTATGTGCTTTAACTTTTAAAAGGGCCATTTAATGAATTTGAATGTCTCATCTTACCTCTTGTGATCCTTTGCCCTTTCCTTTCCTTTCTTTGAGTAACTGAGAAAACAGAAACAAGTGTTGCTAAGAAAATATTTCATTAAGTATGTAGTGTTTACTTGACAATTATGAGCATCTATTTATTTATATGTTTATACTTGATCCTGATTGAAGAACAGGACATACCAGAGACCAGATTGCACTGAGACCCAGACAAAACCAAGACATTTAGGGATCGAGGCCGAGTCAAAACCAAGACCATAAATATCACAGAAAAATCAGCAGGCGTGTCACTCTCTTAAACCGTAACACCGGGAAGGTTGTGGCCATAACCGGGGATAAAAATCAAACTACATATGAAAAGAAGTTTCTCTGAGAGAGCCGTAACAAGCTCGGCCATCCATACATCTTTAACATTCATATTTATTCCACAACAGCGTAATATTGGTGTCACAGTCTGGGTATCCACATTGCTTAACGGCGTTGTTGAAGCAAGATGGGTAGATAAACAGCGGGAGCTAACGACAGACATAACTGAAGATTGTATATGAAGTTAACATGTAACAGAATGTAGTTTGGCATGTTCCTATAAGTCGGTTAAGGTCTTCTCCAGCTTGTAAACTTAGCTGTTAGTTGAGTTTCTTACCATGTGTCCAAATTCTGCCTCCAATCCTCCACCAGCTGGGTGCACGTCCATGAACTTGTAGCCGTTGCTGTCAAAGTCAAACTGACGGAACCTAAAGCAACATCAGACCATCAGTATATATCAGAGTCCAGGAAGGTGTGAAAGGTCAGAGGGCAACTTAAATAACTCATCAGTTTACACTTCTGATATTTGTAATGTGTGTGTACACTTCACCTACCCTTTAAGCGTCTTGGCCTCTTCAACATCCCTTATTTTAGAGAGGAAAAAAGATCAGACATCTCTAATAATGTACATCATCACATGCTCAGTCAGATGTTTTCTTTTGGCTTACTTGTCAAATGAAGGTGTGACTTTAAGTGAGCACTTCTGGATGAATTCTGTGAGGTTTGCTAAAAACCTGAGAAAAATAAAAAAAACGTTACGAACTCGACAAAAATGTAAAAACACACAGTACGCTATATTGTGGGGGTTTTCTGGCAGCATCGCGGTGTAAGGCATTAATAATGATCACAGAAGTATTTTATGGAAATGGATTGCTCTTTCATATTACAATATCCACACATATCCCCAATCGGGATTGTCATAGCATCAGAGTTTTAAACTTCACTGAGATACTAGTAGAAATCCAACAATATTACCATTGTTTTCCTGTCCGCTCGCTCCACAAAGGTTATACTCTGACTTCCCAGACTTGTCCTTGATCGATCCTGAATTTCTGTAATCTTTCATGTTTTTTTTTTTTGGTTTTTTTTATGTTTATTTTTGGGCTTTTTGCCTTTAGTTAGAGATAGTACAGTGGATAGAGTCAGAAACCCGGGAGAGAGAGAGAGAGAGTGGGGAACAACATGAGGGAAAGGGGCTATGGGTTGGTTTTGGACCCGGGACGCCCGCTTGGAGGGCTATAACCTCTGTTCATGGGGCACGCACACTAAGCACTACTGTAGGCCACCAGGGCCCCTAGTGTGAGTATTCTTGTACACTGTCTTAATGTCACCTTTTTCTCTTGTCATGTCATCTCAACCCTGTGAGAAATGCAGTAATTAGAAAATGAGAAGACACAGGAAGACAAAGATGTGCAGTATTACCTCACTGATACTGCAAAGCGCACCCCGGTCTTAATTATCAGGGGTCGTTGTGGTAAACTCGCCATCACAGGCTGTTTCTCAACCACTAGAGCACTGCAAAGACGAAGGAGACACATGGTATCTGTATAACATCGTCTATCAGCATTAGTCGACTCACCGTGTATAACTAACAGAACAGTATGTTTGCCATGTCTTACTTTGAAAGCAGTTTTTTGAGCAAGGACAAAGAAAAACTCTTGATTTCCGCCATTTGACCAGTGAGGTTGGAGGAATCTGTGCTGTTGTATTTCCCGATCAGGTCTTGCAGCTTCTGCAGCTGTTTGGGTATCTGCACCAGAACTTCTGCCACAGCCGTGAACCTGCGCATACAACACAAGAATTTACACACAAGGACAAAACCTGAGGCTCTCCTTTACACTCAGTAGTTGTTGAAACATTAAAAAAAAGCCCAGGTAAGTTCTTACATCTTCTCCAGATGGTCCAGAGAAGTGTCAACAGGACTTCCAATGCAGGCCTTCTGCTGTCTGCGCTTCCATTCAGTTAGCTCCACATCGACAAGGGTCACTATAGTCTGCTCTGCCTGATTTAAAATGTTCCCTACCTGCTGCAGCACCAGCTGTGAGTCAAAAAAACATATATACGTTGTTAGAAGCATTTTTATCAAGAACATCCAGCAAAATATTTTATACTCCTTTAACCCTTGGAAGAGCTGATGGTGCATGGTGAGAAAAACACACATTTTACACATAGCTCCTTAATATTAAACTGCTTTAAAAGTGTTATATCTGTTTGTGCTTTGTCAAGTCCTAAAGCATACATTTACATCACCTGCTTTGTTTGTGTGATGATGAGTGTCTGTTGACAACATTCCTCTTCCACAGCAGCCTTGGACTGAGGCAATCCAACTCGCCCCTCCACTGGTAATGACGAGAGACATACATAATAAGTAATCATAACCTCATGCATAATTTATAGCACATTTCTTTACGTTGCCTTCTTTACCTCGGCTTTGCCAGTTCTTCTGAATGAAGCCCAGATTTTCATACAGGCCCTCCAGTGACTTGATTTCCTGCTTTACCTCCTGGACATACGAGCGAAAGTCCACAGGTTAAAAGAGGATAAAGAATGCACTTCTCATTTTACAAACCATAAATCTGCTTTGGAATCAAAATAAGTTACAGTTGGAGTGAGTTTACCGAGGTCTGTTTCTGTAGTTCGTTGATTTTGTGCGCCAACATTCTCCACTTTTGCTCCATGGTTGGACTTCCACAATGCTGAGAGACAAAAAAAACCCAACATGTTTTACAATATTTTACTGGCATAAAATGATTTCCATGCTGTGTGCCTCTTCTACAGTTAGCAAACGTTCTCTGGTTAACACATCACAGCATTCAGAGAGACACAAAGTCTACTCTATGATGTGTGATGTATGTTTTCAGACTGTACACAGGTTTCTATTCTAATCCCTCACACGGTATGTAAATGTTGAGAGACAGGACTGTGGAAGGAGAGCGGGGAACGACACACAGGAAAGGAGCCACAGGTCGGACTTGAACCCGGGCCGCCCGCCCAGAGGACTACAGCCTCCATACATGGGGCTAGGCTAACTTGGCTAACGGCACCTCCTATTTTAAATGGCATATTTGCAGAAACAAGTCTAACATAAATGTCTGGGGAGGGCGGGGTTATTTTGATCTATGTAGGTTTTTCTTTTTAAATCTTCTATAATATGGGAGGGGGGACAGCGGGTGTTGTTTGTCATTTCATGCGTATTTTTGTAAGCTGCTACTGGATGCTTTGAGTGTCCCTCAGGATCAAATAATTAACCAGAAGTGTCATAGTTATCGGCATAGCAATTAATCAAAAATAACTACAGAGCGTCTTGTGACAAACAGAAAACTTTTTTTTTTGATAGTAGTAGACATTTCTGAGGTCTGTGCTGCTTACCTTTGCTTCACGGGCGGACGCCAGGATTCTCATTTCCTCTTTGAGGCATTCAGAAAGGATGACAGCCAAGTTCATTGGTTGGTTCACAAAGTATTTCTAAGCGAAAAAACAAAAAGGAATAAATATCAAGCATTCACACAAACAAGTACGCGGATGTAATAATCTTGTGTGGAGAAAATTAGAAGAAGAGATACATCTGAATGAAATGTTCAATGTGTGTGTGTGTCGGCCCTACCAGCAAGAAGTCTTTCATCCCTGAAAAGTTCGGACCCCCTAAGATGTTGTTCTCCTGGACAGAGCGGTTCCACTGTTGATCCAGATCCAGTAGGAGAGCTCGAAAACAAGTGGAAGCTTTATTTTCATCCACCGCTGCCGAGTCCCTGACACAGAGCAACAGATAATGTGCATTAATATCAGGACTGTGTGTGTGTGTGTGTGTGTGTGTGTGTGTGTGTGTGTGTGTGTGTGTGTGTGTGTGTGTGTGTGTGTGTGTGTGTGGGCGTGTGTGTGCGCGTGTGTCTACATCACTGAATTACAACACAATCTGACTACAATAATTCAACATGAAAAATTACACCAAAAACAAAGTTATATAAAGATCAGGTGAAAGTCCCTAACAGTGACAGTGGGACAATGCATCGTGTACGTTTTACTTCAATTGTAATACCTAAGTAAGAACATGATTGGGAAACACATTTTTTTGAATTAGTTACATACACTTTTAAAGGTCACATATTATGCAAAATACACTTCACAATGTTTTTTCTAACACTAATATGTATCCCTAGTCCGTCTACAAACTCCACAATGATGAGAAAAGTCCATCCTCTCCGTCTTTTACCTGCTCCACTTTTCAGAAAATGTGTGCTCAAACAGGCCGTTTGGAGATTTTCACTCCTCTCCCACAGCTAGGTGTTTGTTCTGCCTTTCCACAGTAAAGAATAAGAGCATGGTGCGAGACAGCCTGATGGTGGGACATCCTTGTTCTTGTGAATACCATACAAAACACATTATAAACTCTTCTTACCAGTCCTGGCTCTCAATCAGCAGGGAGAGATGGTGGCGGATCTCTAGAGGGATTTTCCCCTTATAAACTTGTCTCACATGGCCCTGAAGAGCCGAGTCCAGCTTCAGCAGCTCCAGCCACTGAGCCATCTGCAGGTACAAGAAATAGTTCAAGTCCTGAAACCTTTACTGGGAATAAACAGTGGTGCAGAGCAGGCAGGGGCACCCATGACTGACAGGGGCCCTGCAAAATATTGTAAAGTTAATTTATTTTAATTCACATTAAATTACAAAGTTATTGCCATAATAGAAGACTTTCTTCACAGTGTGCTCATTACAATAACTTTTCCTTTTCTTATTGGTAACATTCAGACAGCCTCAGTGTTGCTGGTGGTTAGGCCCAATTGAGATATCTTTTCATGGGGCCCAGATCTGGCGACGCCCGTGAGTGCAGGATGTACCCAGGTATAAGCAGGTATATACCCACTTATTTTTCCATTGGGTATATCCTCTTCTAAATAACATTTTACTTAAATTGCAAAACCAGTGCATTATATAGGGCCTAACTTGTAACAACAAAATACACACTAAGCATCTTTGAGTATTTAGAAAAGCGCTATAGAAATCTAATTTATTATTATTATTATTATTATTATTATTATTATTATTATTATTATTATTATTACTAGTGCATTGCTTTTTAACGCATTTCCCCAACACTCTTTATGAATAAGGAATAGTTCACTCAAAATGCATTTGTCTCAACCTGTAGTCTGTTGTACAGTTACAATGACAAAATGTGTTCCTCTTCTGCAGCTAATTTCACAACAATCCCCTTAAGTCAAGCAGTGGAAGTGGAGTATTAATGTGTAAATTTAGAAAGCACATGTTTTAGATGAACTAAATACACACCTATATATATATATATATATATATATATATATAAAATTTAATATATTTTTTTTTTTTGGGGGGGGGGGGGTTAGAGTATTCCCAGTTCTTCAGGCACCACTACATCAGTGGTATAAACCCACAGACTGTCAATATAATAATATTAATAATAATATTAATAATATAACCTGTAACTTCATTATTTGTGAAGTGTACAACAAATATCGCGACAACTATAAAAACTGTAAACACAGGCTCCCAGAATAAAACCACAGACTGTAACATATAATGCATAAAACACGTGATTCCTCTCAGCAACAGGAAGTAAAATAACTTACCTTTCGGCGGATTTTTGGATTTGTTATTTGTTGGTTATCGAAATGGATCGTAAAGTGTAAATAAATACAAAGTTTACTGCGAACTAAGCTGTCTATTCAACGTGTGTCACAGCAGGAAGTAGGGCTGCTTATATAGCCTCGGCCGGTCCCCTCCCACAACACAAGCGGCTCCGATTCTCGGGAAATGGTCGAATAAAAACGTCAAGTCAGCGATTTCGCTCTATTCATTTCCGCTTTCAAAATAAAATAAACATCGAGGAATTCTGCTGCGGCTTGTTGGCTGCAATTTTCCCGCGTCTCTTCCGGGAGGTAAAACCCGAAAACTAGGGTAAAACTTGGGTAAAACCGGGTAAAACGGATTTTTTTTAGTCTTAAACTGAGAACTCTCAAACAAAAACGTTTTGTTATCCTTCTTTCAGCTGTTTAGCTCCGAGACTCCAAGAATATAAATGCATTGTATTCAGTCTGGCTTTTATGTAGTAGCCTACTTTATGATGCAATATTTATCATTTATATTTAAATGTAGTCATTGATTAATTCTGCTTTAAATTAACATACAATTGTTTAAATTATGTTTTTAGTATTAGTATTTATTTTTTATTGGCATTGGTATCGTGTTTTAGTAATATGCCTACTTTAATATTTTATACATTTGTGGTTTTAGGGTTTTCTTTATGTAGGAGTTGTATAGGCTATATAATTATATTTTATTTTTAATTACTTGTTTTATTGTTTCAAGTACACATTTCCTATAGGTGTGCATTAGTCTTTACTTCTAAATCCATTTTTATTACTAACCTTTTTAGTCACTATTTTGCCGTTTATCCTAATCATACATACATACATCTTTTATTCTTTTATTTTTGTTGAATTCATGTTGCTGTTTAACACATTGTACCTTTGGTCGTCCACTTTCTCGCTCTCTTCTAAATTACTATCTGCAATTAAACTTCTCTCAAACGTGCAAAATAAATAAAATGCGATTAATCCAGTGATGGTTCATAAAGAAAATGTGTTAAAAATGTGCTTTGGGACTAACAATCAAATATAAAACTTGTTCTGGCAAATGTAGACATATAGAGTGTGTTGGTTAATTTCTTTCTACTGTACATCAGCCTATACACCTTTATAAAACCTACTCAATTTAGCAAGGTTAGTTTAATCATATTTTTATAACGTCCAAAGTCTGTGTAGCTCAGTGTTTATTTATACAGATACAAACACAAACACACCTTTACGGCTGTGAAACACACCCTTCACTCTCTTCACTCTCCGGGATTCACGTCTGTTCTCGGTAAACTCTTGAACACTGACTCTGTCAAGTTCAACGCAGTCAGGTGAGGCGCTCTATTTCCTGCCGATTAGAAAAACTAAAAACTCTGCAACACTTGTTGACACAGCCATGCCTCAGTGTGGCCTCTAGGTGGCAGAAGAGCTCACCTTGAATGATTGTACGTGATGACGTGTGGTGTAAGTGTGACTGTTAAGACAGACTAAATCAAAACGAAATGTAATCACTGAATTTGTAACTGATTAACAAAAATAAGCGCACAAATATTGTGGTGATACGGCACTGTCATATAAATAAACATGAAAATGTTATAAACGATAGGTTTTAAATAACAATTATAAACACTTTATTCGTACAGAAAAAAAAAAACATACTCACAGTTCGTAGAAGGACATATCAAAAAGTACACAATCAAAGAAAAAACAACATAAAAATACAAATAAAAAGGAGTGCATTAAAGTACAGCTGAAATAAGAGTGATCAAAAAAAAAAACGAAGGAAAGAAGGCACATTACAGAATAGCCAAAAAATAAGTAAAATCAATTCAAATGTTAAGTCTAACTAGTTCAAAAAATAAGTGGTCACATAAACTTTTTTTAAAAATCCAAACACTCGGTCAATATAAAAATATAAAAACTCTTTGATCTCGGAGATAAAATGTTGTTTGTGTCATCAGGAGTTACTGAGAATACGGCGGACTCATCTGAAACACAAAAACAAAAAACATGAGCAGCAGGAAACATAAAGGGCTCATCTGGAGTAAATGAGACAAAAACAATGATTTTCTATGTGTGTATAAATATGTGTAAGATGTATATATGCATGTTTATATGTATATGTTTGTGTGTGTATATATGTGTACCTGTATATCTTTTTTTCTACTATTTTCCACATTTTGTAACAGCTTCCTTTCTTTTATTTTTTCTTTAATATGTTTTTTGCTCTCCTCATTTACGAGGGATAGTTTCACGTATTCTTTACTTTTGTTGTACACAATTGTTTGGATATTTTCCCTTGGATTAATGTCGCTATATATGACGTACTTCCATGATGATCTGAAACGCGGTGGTCTTCCACACATGAATAACTTTACCTACAGCAATGAGCTTTTTTTAACACAACAGAGTGCCTGTTTGCGTGTTGACTCTACCCTTCAGAGAAATCTTTTCAACGTGTGTTTTGATGCAGAATAAATGTTGAACATCGTGTGTAGGACTGAGTGAACAATGAAGATGTATTGTATAGATTCATAAAAACATATTAAGCTTTAAAAACATTCCCAACAAGACAAATTGCCAGAATGATTCCATCATTGTTTTGGCTATTTTCTTTAGATTTACTAAAAAGAAGACAAAATAAAGAGTATTGTTTGTGAATTGTGCTGTCCACCAAACAGAATAAATATGACTCACTGTTTCCATGCTGAAGCAAAGCTGCTCGTTCAGCATGTCAAACTCGCCGGGAGTCATCGGTGGTTCAGGAGACTGACAGGAGACGGGGGACGAGGTGCTCACATTCGAGCTGGGAAGAGACAAAACATCTAACTTAGTTTATTGTAACGCAGAAGCAACTTTCAGTTTCTGTTGATTTTGGCGCCCCCTGTGGATGAAGTGGTACCTCTAATCTCTTTGCTGATATTGTCCTGAACATATGTGTAGGTTGTGTTTTCAAACAAAATGTCATCCAGCTTTTTTAAAAACCGTCAAACGTGCGACTCAATGTGAATGTTTTCTTCAAAAAGTCCTCAATATTAAATTCAGTCTGTTTCATAAAAACAAAAAACAAAACTCATCTCAGCCGCTTTAACAAAAATCTCAAAAATCTCTCAGCTGCATTGAAAGCAGCGTGTCATAATTAACACTACGCTGATGAAGCCATGTGAATCTTTGGGGTTTTGCAGCCCTCTAAATGACTAACACGACTACATTACACTGATATTCATAGTTTGAGTCTAAGAAGGCTGCTATGTAAATAGACTTGAGCTTGTATAGCGCTTTTCTAGTCTCCTGACAACTCAAAGTGTTTTAACACTACAGGTCACACCTACACATTCACACACTGATGAGGCCGCTGTGTAAAGTGTCCATCAGGAGTAACTAATCCATTCATACACATTCATACACCGCCGTCTCTCATGGTCCACAAAAGAACTTACCGTAATTCAGAGATGGGGATCAGGATGGAGGGTATGTATGGATGGACTGTAAGTTAAACACAGATAAAAGAAACGTTAGCTTTGTACTCAATAAGCTAGGTAGCTCAAAAATAATCATTTAAAACACATCAACTCTGATTGGAGAACTGTTTCTGCACTCCTGCCTTTGCTCGGCTGACTGTTGTAAAGACGTCCGAAGGCTTCATCTTTGGGGATCTTCGGGTAGAGGAACTTGAGCGGGTTCTCCGGTACGACCCCGTCTGAGATCACTTTGTAGTCTCGTATGATGTCGGCAAAAGGGAGAGCGCTGAGGCGGTTTTTAGTGTACGGCTCCACAGAGTTTAAACTCATCTCTCCTGTTGGGAAATTAAAAGCCAAGTATTAGATCGAGGAAAGACCACCAGGTCGAAGTCTGAAATACAAAGCTTGTATAACATGACCTCGTGACCCTGGACAACATTTGAGAGTATACTGAGGGATTTTATTTTAAAACAAAAGTATGAAACATTCTGTCACTCAGAGTAGGAGATGATGTACTTAATAGAAAGCTGACCGTTTTCGTTGTGCTGCACCCAAGTGAAGGTGATTCCTCCGAGGTGGCTCTCACTGAAGCGGAGGAGGAATGTGCCTTGCTCTTTGTCCTTTAGCAGAATGCGCTCCATCTCTTTACTCACAAAGCCCATGATGTAGCTGCATGGTGCAAAAGAAAAAGAAACAAAACACCCTTTAATTCCCCAACATATATTTTTTGCTGTTGCTATCAATCAAATTTTCACATTCTTCTGATGGTTTTTTACATGCTTTGATCATTGTTTTAACTCTTTTTCTGCAGGTCTGAAATGCTGCTATTATTATTAAATGTTTAATGTGTAAAAATGTTTCACTGCAAGATGATGTGCAGTAAATGTTAAAACTATGTTTAACTCAACACTTTCATTCATTTCACACTCGTCAGAAAACAGGAAGACAGTAGGTCAGGGAGATTGCTATAACACCAAATAAAAAAAAATAGAAAGGAATTGTAGTTTAATTGCAATTTTTGAAAGTAAATATAAACTTGTAAAGCTTTATCATTTGAATAAAGTTAAATAGAATAAAGGAAAACAGTCTCATAATCAAGACATGAAGAAAATATATTCAGCTTAAAGCCTTTTTCCTGATTGTAGTTACCAAAAGAAACCACAGGGTGGAGTCCTACACTGAACTCTACTTTCAGGTAATCATTAACAATCATATGAAGGCAAATTTAGTGATAAAGACATGCAGGGATTTAAAAGGAGTGCAACAAAACTAATGAGAGTAGGAAAATATTAACACAATAATAATGAAATAAATATATTTAAATTCAAATTTAAATGTTACTTTATTACCAGTTATTTAAACCAGAAATTGTTACTTACTGAAGTCTCTGCTGGTTGCCTGGCAACCTCACAGTGACAACAACAAAAACAAACAAGACAAAATCTGTTTGAGGTGCCGGTTGGATGATTGTATTGCCTTTGAACAAGCCAAGCTTGTAGTTTATCCATTTTCCCATCTCCACTGTCTGGTCTTTATGCTAAGCTAGGTGACGATCACCTGCAGAGAGTCTATTGTTGTTCACCGATCGAAGGGAATAAACGTCACCACCCACTCCCGCTCGCTAGAGGTGAATTCTCCTGATAAGATCCCGCTGTGTTCTGACATCAGCTCACTCAAATCTCTCTGCAGAAACAAATACGAGGGGGCTGGGAGGACAAACTCAGGATAAAGTCTGAGTGAAAAACTTCTGCTGTTTGTGTTCAAATATGCAGCTCACCCTGACATTGTTTTCAGGAGTTTCGTACAAGTGTAAAAGCCCTGTTAGTGAGGTCAGGTATTACATAGGTGAACCAGCAGCTTACTTCTCGTTCCAGACTGGCAGCAGGTGTTTCTTGATGAGCTCCAGGATGGAGTCCAACCACATCCAGAAACTGAAAGGCTTTCCAAGAATATTCTCCTGTAAGAACGGATGAAGCACAGAAATGCCCACGATGAGTACGTCATGACACAGAAACTTCCCAGAAGAGATGTAGAGTACATATGTAATTGTCCAAAAAAGATCTATTTTTTTAAGTCTTGGTCCAACAACACAACATGGGAAAAATGGAGGTCTCTTTTGAAGATGAGATGAATGACCCTTTGAGGTATTAACATGTACTACGTGGCTGTAGCCGATGTGAAAGGGCCTTTAACCTGCAGGTTCAAAATGGTAATCTGAACTAAAAGTTGGCTCATACAGTATGTGGTATTTCAATATTATCGAAGACTTACCTTACAGAACTTTGACCAGGACACTTGATAATCACTGCAGGAAGCATGTTGACCTGCAAAGAAATACAGAAAAGAATAAAACACGACGGTAACAAAGAACATCTGTTAGCTTTGCAGTTTATGTTTTTTGGAACCTATGAAGGAAACCCCTTGACTCATGCCTTCATTTCAAGTCAAGTCAGGCCTTTATATCTCATTCTGCTGTTTGTGTTTGTGTTTGTGTTCGCTGACAAGGACAGACACACTGCATCCCCTAGAGCAGAACAATATGGAACAAAACTAGCATTGCAATATCTTTCTGTCAGCAATTTTTTATTGTGGAAAAACACAGGAAGTTAAGCCAAATGAATGCAATGTGTTTAGATAGGCAATTAACTTTTGAATCATGACTTCATTATTTTGGACTTTTTGTCGATGGTTATTTTAGGCCTGCACGATATGAGAAGTCAAATGAGATATACGATAATATTCTTCAAAATTGTGTAAAAGATATGAAATGGTTCAATAAAAACAAATGGCATAATACTTATTCAAATTTCTTTACAGCTGTTTGCAACAAGTTTCTCCAAAAAGCCTCTTTCCACCACCGATTAATCTGAGTGTAGCTGAAATGAGCTTCATCTGACTGCATCAACATTGTTTGAGAGCATGGCTGTAATCCACAGGCCTCCATTCAACAGGTTCAATGTGCACACGCTGAGTGAGAAAACGTTGCTTGTTTACATTAAATAATGTTCTACTTTATTGCCATACATTCATACTTCTGCTCACATTGCGATGGCAATTAAAGCATGATTTATTTTGCAACACTACCAACAAGGCAAACAATATCTAATGCAGGAGAAACTGTAGAAAAGCTGAAATTACAGAAGCAATGCAAAGTCAAAAACATGTGGAAAACATGTGGAAAAAACCATAGAAATGTATGCAGCCGGATCACACTGCATATCCAGTCATCACAACAGAAGACCTACAGGCCGGAAAATCTTTTTTCCCTTGCAGGCCAACATACTATAAGCTATCATATGTATTTATAGGATATGTAAGAAAGTGTTCAAAGAAACCTCAGACATTTCTTTTCTCATTCAGTAGTTTGAAAACTGAAGGTGAAAACGTACCGAGCAGCTTCTCTCCCAGCATGCTCAGCTGCTCCTTGTTGAGGCCTCGACCGGCGAAGGTGGAGAACTGCCAGCTGAGGACCTCCGAGAGCTGACTCCAGGTGGCCCGAGGCGGGTTTCCAAAGAACGCCATGTTCTGTGGATTAAGAGAACGAGGAGGAAGAAGAAGGTTAAGAGGAAGGAAATTTAGGATATGGAAGTGGAATACAATTCGAAACAACTCAACCGTAACACTAAATACATCGATCATACAGATAAAACAATGCAAAATTAAACAGCTATACAGAAATATCTTCTTATTGGTTGTGTTAATGCCACAACAATGAACTTCAACATTGTTTTTTAAAATATGGTTTGGGAACATAGACCACGCCTCAAACACAACACATTTCTGATTCATACATATTTAAGCACCACTCACTCACTCCTATTCCTCTGATGCTGATTTCACATCCCCCCTTCCCCCACCTCTGTGTTTCTTCACTTCTCTAAATAAAGACACCACAGGTGTCAACAAAGAGAGCAACAAAGAGACTCCTTCTACATACTGACAAAATCAATCTGAAGTATATGTGTTTCTATTATGACCAATAATTGTATTGTTTGTTTGGCTGAACTGGTTTAAGATGTATTTTTTTTAACCACATGGCCTCAGCTGACTACTTTTTTTTACTTGCTTTAATAAAAATCAAGGTAAGTGGCTTTTGTTTTAGGTCATTCTTTTCTTATTTTATGACTTTTTGCTCTGTTTATTTTGGAGGATGACCCTTTGCAGGGGTGTTAAACTATACTTGTTTATTTAAGGTTAACTTAATAAATTGGTAACTGAGCGTGTGTACTGCAGTGCAGTGTGTAAACTCACCCTGGGCTCGTCCGTCAGAAGGTTGTACCACATGACCGAGGCCCAGCCTCCGGGCAGCTGGCTCACGTTGGATATGACCACCAGAGGCAGAGAACACGTCTGGAGGAATTTAAACTCACAGTGAGAAACTTTTTTAACCACCAACACCCCTCTCACAGCACGTTAAAGTGAAGCAACCTCTCACCTCCAGATCGATGGTGAGACCCTGAACTGTGAAGCACGCCTCAAAACTGAGCGAGTGAAGCTCCTCTGTCACAGAGAGCAGACCCTACAGCACACACAGAAAGCATGAGGGTCAGAAAGTCACTCCTTTTATAGACATTATAATGAGTACAATAAACATTACAATAATGTGTCTCATATTGAATATTTCGTCTTACCTCGTTCCCCTTTGTGCCATTGATGTATTTCTTCTCTTTCAGCTGCTGTAAGATGCAAACACACTGACATTTGTCTTCTCTTTCTTTTTTAATGACCCGTTTTGTCTCCCACATTAACACGTTTCCCTATAATAAATGACACATATGAGCATAAAAGATTGATCTCACCAAGTGTCTGAACTCCACAGAGAGGCAGCCGTTTGAATAATCTTCAATGTCCATGACTTTAGTGTTGTTGGTCAGGATGAAAAACTGACGACTTCTGAGGAGAAAAGAAAACGTATTTAATCAGCGTCTATATTCACCTACATTTTTAAACCAAAAAAGCAACTGTTGCTGCTGAAATCCGAGTCAAAACTTCATTTTTAACAAGAAGAACGTTATCAGAATACTAAACTGAAACACTCAGCGTCGAGGACTGGACTAAGACAGTGAATGTGGATAGTATTGGAAGCCCCTCCTCCCAAAAGTATCCGTGTCTATGACGGGACTTTGTAAAAGATTTATGATCAATGTAAGGTGGGTAATTTTTACAAGCCCTCCTCCCATCTGTGCATTATCTATGTGTAAATATCTCTGGGGTAAATCTCTTGTTTTATCTTTAAATGAAAAATTAAAGAACTAATGTAATGAAAAAACACATATTTACTGAGTGATGGTATTAGAAACTGATGAATAAGTTTTCTTTAAGTTAGTTTCTCAATAAATAAATTAAGTTGTGCATCATGACATCAAAATATCTTAAAATCATAGGAGACTTCTTCTAAAAACAGCGATTTCATACCAAGCCATTACACTCTAAAAAGTGTAATCAATAAACCGTGGCACACTGAAAATGACTTTACTGTCACTTCATTGTGAGTGAACAACACCTTGCTTCATTGGGTTCTCCCAGCACTCTAAAAAGTATATTTAGTTTGTAGCTGAAAGAACTTTATTATTTGAATTTCTGCTTTTTGAGAGTGTAGCCTATGTTTGTTGATTAGATTAACTCAACATCATGCTGTACACATCGATGTTCCTTTAAACTGTTTTTGTTATTTCAGTGAAGGACAACTGTTTAGGTTTCTGCTGCATGACATCGTGACGTCTTTTCAGTCACATTTTCTTGGTGAGGTTTCTTATTTTATGACCAACGGGGTCTTTTTCACTACATTTGCAGAAATGGGGTTACATACACAGTTAAAGAGTAACATCCGCACGCTGTTCAGCTCCCCATGAGCACCTCCAGTGTGCAGATCTTTCTCTTTTTCTGTCCTGCACCTGTACGCATTTTGCTCAGAAGTGCGCACACTTGCTTTTTCCTCTTTACACACATAGTTAAAATCTTCTTCTACTTGCATTAACACTGACTAATGTGTCTAAAGTCAATATTCTGGTGTCATATACTGTTGGCCACTGTTTTTAAAAGCTGTTAAAATGTGTTACACTGTTTCTATCAGTGCTCAAATTAAACATCAGCACTTTGTCATGTGGTGAAGATGTTTGTACTCACACTCTGCCAGGGGGGAGGTCCCTAGAGACGCACACACACAAACCACAGACAAATATAAGTGACCATCAACATTTCTGAAGATAGAATTCCTTTATAGCTGCACACAATTTATTTATTAAGTGAAAGTGAAAATCTCACTTGTCAAATGTTGTTTTCACTTTGAGCTGATAATCCACCTCTGGAAGTTTGACCAGGAGTCTGGGAGAAACAAAGAATATACATATTATATTTCACCATAAGGAACATTTAATTTTATGTTGATGTTGGCGCCCCCCCCCCCCTGTGGACAAAACGCTACCTCATGTCTAAACACTTCATCTCCATCTGTGGAGTAATTTGGAGCCGTTACACACGAGGAAGTGAGTTTTTCTTTTGTCTTGTTTCTGCTTGCCCAATTTAGAGAGGAAGCTTTGTTCTAAACAGTGAAACAAATGTAACATTTTTCAGGACTAGCATCAAAATAAACTCTCAAAAAGCTTCCTCCCCCCCCCTTAGCTCATCATCTTTGTGTTGACAAAACATCTCCGTCAGCGCAGAGTTGAGGTGCAGATTGGCTTTCCTCCACATTCAGACGCGAAACAAGAACAGATTGCATGGAGAAGGACATCTTAGTGTGTGTGTGTTAGCAACAGTTTCTAATAAGAGCAGAGTCTTTAGTGGATAGGGTGCTAAAACGGGTCAGATGACGGGTGCTATTTCTGTGCCACTCATGGTGCTGTCAGCAGGTGCAATCAATTCTTGATGAATCGGGCCCTTAGTGTTCTATGAATGAATACTGAGGGTGAAACAGGACTTCAGATTTAAACGGAGCAAACGAAATCATGAAACCAGGTCACATCATGATACCTGACTTTAGTGGTGAACTGCACTCCGGTCTTGATGATGAGGGGCTTCTGTGGGTGTGTGGGCATGCAGGGCTGCTTCTCCACCACAAACGAGCTGCAAACAAACCACACGCAATACCAGTTATACTTTGTTTCACATTCATCTCTCGTGTTCATTGACAGCTTCTGACTGTGTTTGAAGGGTATTCAGCTCCTCTCTATAATGTGTTCTCAATGCTAAGAGTACAAGAGGAGGTCCTTTGTACATGTCAGTGTCAATGCATCCTTTGGACCGTTACCTCTTGATGAGGTGGTAGATGAGGTATTTGACTCTCTCCTCCATCTGGGGTTTCTGCAGGGGGATTGGGTCGCTCTCGTAGGTGACCTTCACAACAAGCTCGCCCAGTTTGTCCAGCTGTCGCTTGATCTGGAAGAGACTCTGGGCTGTCAGAGTGAACCTGAGAGGGGACAGGAGAGAGGAAGATAAAGGAGTGAAGAAGGGGGACAGGAGAGAGGAAGATAAAGGAGTGAAGAAGGGGGACAGGAGAGAGGAAGATTGAGGCTTATTTCATTTACTGTCAAGTATCTTTATGAGCAGATTCTATATAAAAGATGTAGAATCTGTACACACAGGGCCAAACTTAGATGAGATGTTTTCTGGTTTCTGATTGTGAAACATTTGTAGTGTGAGTAGTATTAACCAATCACGTATCAGCAGGCTTTAGTGTATGCAGGAAAAACTGTGTTTGAAGTCCCAAAATGCAATCCACGCTAATGACATCCCACGATACCAAGCGATGATGTATTCATCTCTATAAACAGATAACTGTGCAAATGTGCAGCTAACAATCCATTCTAGACCAAATGTTTCATCTTGAGAGAAAAATCAGCTTGACAGCGTTTAGAGATTTTATTTCTTTTAAGAGCGGTCTTAAAACATTGCTTTTCTCTCATGCCTTTGGTTGCTAGTTTATCTTTGCATATGTGTGTGTGTGTGTGTGTGTGTGTGTGTGTGTGTGTGTGTGTGTGTGTGTGTGTGTGTGTGTGTGTGTGTGTGTGTGTGTGTGTATATGTTTGGTGTATGGTCCCTGTGAGAGGTTTTTGTTGTTGTTGCTGTTTTAAGTTTTTTAAAATGAGTTTGTATTGTGTTTGTTTATCTTTGTCTTCTGTAAAGCTCATTGAGTTTGCGTTTGTATGAAATGTGCCATACAAATAAAACTGATTTGAATTGAAATAGATTGAGCTGCATCGGAAATGATCGATCTGACCTCCTTTTAACAAACATTTTAACTTCTTGAGAACAGACCTGACAAGCTTACATTGATCACAAATCTGGATCATGATGTTATTATTCAGGCAATCTTAAAACCTGATAACTGTAAGTTTATCAAAAGAAGTTTGTGTCATTTTCAGGCTCATACCGCTAAAGTGAAGCCGCTGTGTGACTTATTATCTGCTGTTGAGCTGAGCGCTACTCTAGGGATGTTATGGATTAAGAAATGACAGAATTTAGGTCTGCAATATAAAGACTGCATGGAGAAGGAAGTCTTGGCTAGAAGTTGTTAAACGCTGATCGCTGGCTTAACCAGAATTATCGAGGATATGTTTCCAACGTTCCCAGAGGCAAATGTTTTCATCTGATGAGAGCCGATGGGCTCAAAGATTGACGGTGATGTATGACGGCATGAACATAAAGCTTTCAGTTAAGAGTCTTCACATTACCAGCTCTGCAGCTGGTCCAGGCCGGTGAGCAGCGGACCCCCGATGGCGGCGATCTGCTGCCTTCGCTTCCAGTCCTGCAGCTCCGGGCTGAGCTGAGACGTCATGAGGTCATCGATCTCCTTTATCACTAAGTCCATTTTAGACAGGATTTCCTAATGAAGGACAGACACAGAGCAATGCTGTTTGTATGCATAAATGTGATTCAAATACCTCTCATAGTTATTTTTATGTTTGGAGACATTCCTGAGAAACTTGGCGATGATTTAGATTCATACCTTTCTTTTAAAGTCCAACCTGTTCAGTATTTCCTGCAGTCTCGTCACCTCTTGTTTCATCATCTCAGAGTTCTTATCTGTTGTTTCTGACACACACACACACACGCACACACACGCATACAGACACAGACACACCCACAAATTAAAAAACACATTTGTAGAAAGGAGCACTTTTGTTGTGTTGCAGGCGGTGACGTTTTTTTTGTTGCACAGGAGTGAAAAAAATATCCCAGTTAAAAATGACTTTCACACCTTGTATGCACAGGGCGTACCTCGTGACTGAAGGGTCTTGTAGCGGAAATCAAAGTCGTCCTGCATGTCCTCGATGCATTTCACAGCCTGATCCATCATCTAGACAGCGGCAGGAAATTGTTAGAGCAATGAAATGTAGAAAAGTCCCTTTTTTTTTTGTTTTTACACAAGATGTTTCAGTTACCTGCACGCTGCCCCTGATGATCCCGACTCTGTTGTCCATGTTTTTCTGCCTCTCAAATTGTACAGAGCTCTGCAGAGATTTCTCCAGTGGACCCTGTTGGAAAATATATTTTTTTTAGTCCCTCGTTTCTCTTTTCTGCTCACATACTTATGATCAAATACAGACTGTTATCTTATCTTTTCTGATTTTTGATTGTGGGGCTTTTTGCCTTTATCTATATAGGACAGTAGACAAAGTATGAAATCAGGAGACAGAGTGGGGAATGACATGCTGGAAAGGAGCCGAGGACTGTACCCTCCATGCACGGGCCGCTTGGCCATCAGTGCCCCCATCTCATCGTATCTTACTCATTCATTGCTTCATTCATTTTCTTGTTCATCGTTCTTTGAATAAACATATTATTCAGTATCAGCATTCATCATATCCATTTGTTTTTCCGCCATCCTCGCAGCAGCCTGATTACATAATTAGTGACAGTTTCTCGAAGAAGAAAAGAAGCGGTTGGGAAAGTGGGAGTGTAGATAATACAACACCAACTTCCTGGTTTGCAGCTCGTGTTTACGAGCAGAGGCGTCTGTTTTTGATGAAGCAGAGGGACTTTCCCCTCTGAGGGAGAGAAGATGTTGCAAACCTGTTCCTGCATGCAGGCGCTGGCGAGGATCCGCCGCTCCTCCCTGAGACAGGTGGAGATAACTCTGGCCATGATGGCGGGGGTGGACGTGTATTTCACCTGCAGACACAAAGGGAATGTTCCAGGTTACAAACACACTCGCACACACACACGGCAGAAAACTAAAGACATGAAAGACAAAACAGAATAAGGAAGAGACAATAACTAGGAATTAAGACTTATTCCCCTATTTTACAACAATGGTAGGAAATGACACACACATGTGTTCTGTGGAAAAAGTGACCAATCAAATTAGAGAAGTAAGAATGTGATGATTGATGACACAATTTGAAATGCTAATGGACTAACTGATACATAAACATCTCTGATAATGGACTCCGGTAACCACGGCTGTTTTGTTCGGATTTGAATGTTTACTTCTTCTTCTCTATTTTTCTTTGTCTTTCTTGCAAGATGAGGAAGAAAAGAAGCCTGCACACTTGCTCAAATGCCACAAAAAAGGTTTTATTGATCACAACATTTCGACCAGAGGTCTTCTTCAGGTGATCATTTTTTGTTTCCTGCAATTTAACATGAGCTATACTTTCTTGAAAGCGCAAAGAAAAATCTGTCCATGTTAAGTTGGAGCTAAGACTTCTTGAATATGTGGAGGAGGAGGAGGAGGAGGAGGAGGAGGAGGAGGATTCATCGAGTATTTGTCATCATTGGTCTTCTCAGAGGTGCAAGGTTTACAGGAAGTACTTTAGCGATTTATTCAGGAAAAGGAATGAGGTCAAACTTGATTTAGGCAACACATAAAGGCCACACTTTTATGTGTTGCCTAAATCAAGTTTCTGTGAGTCATAGTGAAAATGGAAAAAGGAGGCATGTCGCCTAAAGGAGTGCACAGACGCTTTGGAGTACAACCGGTTTTATTTCCAGGCAGTTATTGCCTTAAACCGTAAAGTTCATTTGAATCTTGGATGACATTTTGAGGGAGTAAACGTTACTTGTAATGGAAAACAAAAACTATAAACCAAAGATGATCAGGTGCTTAGAGCTACTTGAAGTGTTATTTCTAAATAAATACACACTCTCTAACAGTCTGCTCACCAGCTTCTGGTTCCTGTTCTCAGAATAGACTCGAGCTTGTAGAGCACTTCTCTGGCTACTCGAAGCGCTTTTAACACCGCAGGTCACACATACACATTCACACCACATATTCACACTTTGGCTGAGGCTGCTGCGTAAAGTGTCCATCAGTATTAACTAATCCCACAAATCACAAACATCCACACGCCACTGACGCAGCGGCGGTAGCCACTGGGGGTTGAGTGTCTTGCCCGAGGACACGTCGACATGTGTCTGCAGAAACCCCTGGCCTTCCAGGTAAGAGACGACCGACTCTACCACTGACCCACAGCCGCCCCGCCTCTTACTGTGGTCATTTTGTGGTCTGAATCAGTCGAGATAGACCGAATGACATCACTATTATTTTCTCAGAACCTCCAAAGTTTCACTAAAAATGCAGGAATCCATTCAGCAACGGTGCCTAACATCCTGCATCACACTGGTCTTTGTGTGTCTGGTGCACATTTGGCTGGACTTGCAACGTCTCGTCTGAACACTTTTTGGATAAGATGGCCAAAACTAAGCGGCCTCTTCACTTACTTTTTCCCGACACCCCAAGATTAACCCTACAGGAGACCTTATGCCTAATTGTAACTTCCAACAGAGATGATTTGTTTTTGTGATTATAGATTCTTGAAGATACTCTCAGCTTTTTTAAAATGGATCCTGCTTCTACGGCTGCTAGCTGAAGATCTTTACCTACATGGTTTTGTACTTTTAAATAGCCAAGTTTAGCATTACCCTTGAAACTGTAACACTAAAATATGTTGACATTTAAATGGACTAAATTATGTTCTGCACCACAAATTTACTCAGACATGCATCTCTCTATTCTGAGGCCCATACCTTTAATATATTTGAGCCCAAAACCTGATTTAAAAGCTTTCTTTCTTAATCCTTACCAGGTAGTTTTGGTGCCTCAGCTGTGGCAAAGTGTGACTGTTTTGTTTTCTTGTTTTTTTTTTGTGTTGTGATCAAAGTCCTTTAGGCACCAAACATCCTAGTATGCTTGGTTCAAGATAAAACAAAACATCAGAGTGTATTTGGGTGGCATTGGGGCCAGAGCTTCACTGAAGTGTGCAATGCTACATCCTCTAAAACCCCGCCCGTCCATGTGAAATACTGAGTCTTTAGGGAGTCCAAAGACACAGAGAAACAACAACACAGATGTTATACAACTGCTTTATCTGTCTCTATTCCTGCAAATAAACTGAAGATACTTCTGAGTCCGTTTGAACCCAGATGTTCTCTTTTTAAAAATCTATTCAATAACCATTAAATAACTAGGTGTCATCTTTTTAATAAAACTGAAGTTTAGACAAACATGTTAAATCAGTGCTTAGATTCTGCTTTCATCATTCAGCAATATTTCAAGGATTTATCCAATTCTTTACACTTTTTGGGGTGCATTTTTGCCTTTATTGGATAGGACAGCTGAAGAGAGAGTGGGGGCTGGCGCAAGGTCAAATATAAACCCACATTCCCCTGCGACGAGGACTATAGCCGCTTCCCATGGGGTGCATGACATAACCGCTGGGCTATCCAGTGCCCAATTCTTCACAATTTAAAGTCATCAAATTTCCCCAGTATACCTTGCAGAGTCCCATCTTGACCTTCTTGGCTGTGAATCCTGCTCTTGCCATTCAAAAAAAATCAATTTAGAGGGGTACAAAAAGTTTCTGCTAAGAGGAGAGGAAACTTTTTGTCTTCGCCTCCAAGTTTTCAGGCATCAGCATCACTGCCAGAATGCTGACGGAGGACGCCATCGTCACACACCTACACACACGTTTATTACAGGAAACACAATGACACTTAGTTCTAAAAAGAAGCAGATGATTTTGCTTTTCCAGCATTTGAATTTGAAAGCTTCCATTCACAAGCTGGCTTCCCTTTTTGTAGCGACCTAAATTATCAAGGGACAATGCACCCTGGAAGGTATCTGTCTTTTACTTGCTGTGAATTGACCGACCTTAGCCATATCTTTTAATCTAACATGAACTCTCCATAAAGACCAGCGACTGATCAAATATCAGATGGACAGGGTTTCATTCAAAAGATTCTGTTTGATTAAGGTACACTACACTACTACACATCACAACAACAACAACATCAACAGCCCACAAACACACTTGAGTACCACACAGGAGTAACTACTTCCTCTGAGAATTGTTGACTCTGACACATCCAGACACACAGGAAACAGCGGTATGGGCCTCACGGGTTTGTTCTGCAAAGCTTTTTGTCTTTTTCAGAATTGAACGTGTGCTGAGGCCAACAACATCCACCAAGCATCCTGTGCAGCTCAAAAACATCAAACTCTGCACTTTCTCGACGCTCGCTAAAAGGTTACTACCTGCAGGCTCCACAACATGAAGGTGACTGAAGTACCTTCAGTCAACAAATGCAGATTCTTCCTGAAAAACTCCAAACGTCATATCTGTAGTCGGACAGTCTTACCGCTCTTCACTTGACATTTAAGACACTGAATAATTTAAACGGCAGTGACTCAAAGGCTACAAAAAACTGTCAAACTTTCAAAGTGACTCCCATCCTTAATGAACCTTTATATTTTTACTTCCCTTACAAGAGATATCTTCAATGCGACTGTTGCAAAGGTGGCAGCATCGACAGTTTATGGCTGATTTGTATTTTCAAAATGGAGCAAATTGATCACCTGAAGCAGACCTCTGGTCGAAATGTTGTGATGAATTCAAACTTTTTTGCCTCATTTGAGCGAGTGTGCGGGCCTATCTTCTTCTTCTACCTCAGTCTGCTGATTCTGCACGGCCCTGCACCTACATGATGTGCGTATACCTACCTCCTTTTTCACACTGGAGCATGAAGCCTTTTCTCTGATACCAAGCATGACATCTTTGGTGCAATATTAGAGCAAAAGTAAGGTTCCTCTGTTACTTTTACATCAAAGGTTTTCCTTCTTACATCCTTTGTGATCATATAAATCAATGTAATCATGCAGGTAAAGTGATCCTCTGTACAGTCATTATGTGTCTTATTTGCTTTTGACGCTTCCTTTGCCATTGCTGCAGCACTTCCTTTAGTTTCTCTTTGATGCTGTTTGTCTACATGCGTATGCTTTCCAATAAGATGCACATTAGAGTGAAAGTGGTTTATGGCATTCAGGAAACTCATGATGTCAGACTTTCACTGATAAGTGTTATAATGTTTGAGGTTTGATTAATGGAGAGTCTGATACTCCCGTGCTAGAACTAGAGTAGCGAGTGAAATACAACGTGCATTAAAAACTAGGAAGTACATTTCAATGGACGGGTTTACTCATTGTTGCTAAGCTGATTTTTAATATATCAGAGTGCTCGTAAAAAGGGGGAAAAAATGCTTCCTATTGAAACAGAGTTAGTTCTGACGATGAGATAAATGGATATGAAGGTATAAAGAGGATGTTGTCACACCTGTAGCTGCTGCTGTATGATCTTCATGTTGTGTCTCTGCAGGAAGTTCTGCTCCTGTGAGCGCACTCGCTCCAGCTGGGACAGCAGGTTGGAGAACAACACGGTCGCCATCGACTCATCGTTCGCTGCTGAGTCCCTGAAAAAACAGACGGTAAAGGTGACGTTCAGGAGACCTCCAGGAAAAGATGAAGAAATCACTGCATACTGTTTAGTTTGTAAATTAGAAGATGTTGAAATCAAAGCAAGCAAACAAATAAAAGAACAAAGAAAATACTGCCTCTCGTGCCCAAACAGGTGCATGCTAAACTATTTGCAATTCCCTTGTCACCAGTAAATCCTCCCTCAACTGTTTACAAATGATTCAAAATGCTGTTGCAAGTGTGATAATTCATCTGCATTGGATTCCAATGAGTCACAAAGCCCTGCGTGATCAGACACTGTTTATATCTCTGACCTGCTCCATCCCTACTTCACCAGTCGACCCCTCAGGGCTTCTGACTAGGAATAAAACATGAAAGTTCTCATAATCTGGGTAAATCTGCAATCTACCATCTCGTGGCAAGAGGCTGCGGTCCATTAAGACCAAAACTTCTCGCCACAAGAACAGTTTCGTCCCGTCTGCTGCCAGCCTCATGAACCAGGTCCCAGCCCTCCCTACTCCGCCCAACATGACACAGACCCTCATCAGCCCCACAGTCAGAAAACATGACGGTAATGTGAAGGCTGGAACTGTTTTTATGCGTTACATTAACGCTTACTGGACTTTGAATACTGCACCTTTTATACCTTTTGTTTTTTTCTATTTCTAATACTCTATTATATATGTTTTTTAATTACATTTATTTTATTTAGGTTTTTGCTATTTTTGCTTTATTTCCTTTGTTAACTGTTTTTGCACTAAGACAAATTCCTTGTATGAGTAAATATACTTGGCAATAAAAACGATTCTGATTCTGATTGAACAATGAATTAGATAAAAACACATCAGAAATAACTGTAAAGGAATTTTTAGATTAGCTGTCAACCTTATCATAAAATTTTTCTGAGAGATTATAGAGATTGTATCTTATCTCTTTGACAGCTGGTTTGTTGAGGTCTTGGCGATGATATTTTTCTTTAAAAATATCTTGTACTTTTCATAGGCAGGTATCATCTGTATGTTTTTTTTTTTTTTTAAAACATGAACATATTTATTTACCCAGTCCCAGAACATGCTTCAGTATTCCGATCTTTTAATTTAAAGGGTTAATCTGCCAAATTTGCAAGAAACAAAACCTATCTCTCGCTTGACTTCAGCGCTTTTTGTTCATTTTTTTTCTCTGTAAATATAACAAATATAAAATCCTTCAGTAATTGTGGCGATGTGACATTTTAAGGTTGTAAAAGAAAGGCTTGGACTCACCAGTCCTGAGCCTCGATCCAGCCGGCTAAACCCTGCCTGATGTCCATGGGGAAGTTATCATCGTAAAGATAATCCACATGTTCAAGAAGTCTGATCTCCAGCTGCTGAATCTGCTTCCACTGGCTCATCCTGAGAGTTACTGAACACACACACACACACACACACACACACAGCAACTCATCATGAACATACAAATATGACCATAGAGCATGTGATAGCCCATTTCTATGTTAGATAAACAGTGATATGGTTCTCCTCATACAGTCTGTGTTACCTGAGTCTCTGCGTTGTTTCCTCGTCAGCCTCCCTCAGCATGTGAACGTGTTTCCCCCTTTGACTTTCGTTTCACGTTGAGGAGGGGCCTCGTTCACCTCATATCCAGGAAACATGAGAGTCAGACACACACACACACACACACACACACACGCACGCGCGCTCACAACATAATGAGCGCGTGAGGTGAGACAGGAATAAGGGAACGTTTACCGGTAACAGGGCTACACCTCTGTTATGTCACACTAAAAGCCAGTCACTAGAATCTGACTTTCATCTACTTACATAAGCGAGAATTGACACGAAAAAAAGCAGATATCCACTATGTTGTCAAAATTAACAACAACACAAAAAAACAAAACAATTAGATAATTATAAAGATATAAAACGTCCAGGGCGTCGCTTAATACAATAAAAATAGTATAAGTTACCAAACAATGTAATATCTAACTTTTTTAAAAAAACGTTCATGATGGTACTTTTGTGTAGTTGTTATTTTCATGAAATAAAAGCCGGTTATCTGAACGATGAAAAGAGTTCATGATCAAATTACAGAACATTTCAAACTTTCAGATGAGTTAAGTTTAAGTGGAGTGCATTCACTGAAGAACTTAAGATATTTTAATTAATTCATGATATTTGTGTCAGGAAATTAGAACCTATATCATTTCATCATTGCAATAACACTGAGATGTTGTGATTAAGAGATGTTCCATTAAGTGAAGTATTTGTTATTAAAGCATCTGAAGGCTCATATTTGTAACTTATTTGCTGGAAACCTAAGGGTTTGTTGTTGTTGTTGTTTGGTTGGGTGAAGGTTGGAAACAGGTGTTCTTAGAAATTATGAATTAATTAACTAATTAATCTTTATTTCCGTGTCTGGCCACTCAACGTGGGATTATTCACCCACATTATTTAAAAAGAATCCCTAGTGTGACACAGTGATACCCGTGATCAGTGAAAACCCCCAAAAGGCTGCAAAAATGGATACTAATGTAAAGTTAACAATTAAACACAAAAACACTGGTACAACACAATAAATACCTGATACAAAAAGAGAGAGCAAGAGGAGCGAGAGACACACAGAGGGAGTGCACGTTCATTCATGCCCTGGGCAAAATTATGTTGTGTATTCGATCAACTCTGAGAGCCTGTCACTGTGCACAAGTAGTTTTTCCTTTTGTTCTAGGCTTTTTTTTTTTTTTTTTTTTTTTTTTAGATATTGTGAATATGTGTCATCAGTAACAAACTGATGAACTAAACAATGTGTCCCCTAAATAAATTGCATTTATAGAATTCAAATTAAAAGTCTTGAAGTTGGCCTGGTAGCTGGAGAGGTGCCAGTTCACTTACTGAGCACTGCCGAGGTGCCCTTCAGCAAGGCACTGGACCAGAAACTGTTCTGGCACTCTTTCATGTGCAGCCTCTGCCATCTCTCCATTAGTGCATGTCCATATAGGATCTTGTTTGTGCATGTATTTCAGCCTATGTGTGTGTTTAGCATGTCTCAATAACAGTGTAAAAGTGAATTCCCCCCTCGTGGGATTAATAAAGGATATATTCTTCTACAATTATAATGTCTACAATTCGTATTGGTCTTTGTTATAAATAAGAAAAAATGGTAAAACTGTACTGCCGTGAGACTTGTAGCACAGGACATTAAGATGGGAAGGAAGTACCTCATCCCACACCTCACAGACTAAATGGACAGTTGACCACCTCACAGTGCAATACAAGTGTGCAATATTAACCTTAAAAACAAAAAAACAGTGCAATTATATAATGTGAAAAATATGTGTGCAGTAACCTCAGGTGCAATAAGAGATAATAAGTGCAATAAGAAAACATATTTATATTTTCATTTCATTGTACAGTGTTCCCCTTGTTATTTTTATTTGTTTGTATTATATCGTTGCTTAGCTGTTAATACAACGTATTTATTTTTTACTTTTTTGTACTCTTTCTTTTTTTCTAACAATGCTATTCTATTTTATATATAATTTTAACTTTTTTTGTAGAAGCTGACTCAGGGAGAAACGCACAAGAATTCCAATGTACCTGTACTGTCCTGTACCTGTGCAAATGACAATAAACATCTAAACTAAACATAATACTTTTTTTGTTCCAGTGACTGATTCACTCCAGACCACCAGGTGGCGGTAAAGCGTCACAACAAACCGGTGAACAAACCCACGAAGAAGAAGCAGCAGCGTGTGTCAGAGTTGAACCCGGTGAAAACATGGTTGAACACGGGGACATCCGCGTGGTTCACCGTGGAGGGAGTAAAATAAACTTCAGAGAGCCTGTCATAACCAGCGATTCAAGGTAAGTGTGCCTTTAAACCCCCGTTCATGTTTGAAAAATGAGCTGGAGAGAGTTTCGCGCTGTTTTCTGAGCTTTATTTGTTAAAATGCTCAAACCGGTGCTAGCTGTTAGCATTCGCTGCTATCTGTGTGTTGATACTTCTGCTGCTGTTTACAAAGACTCACCTCAAGATGTTCTCATCTTTGCGACGCTGTTCTGTGACGGGAAATGAACCAACACAATAACTATCCAGCCACTGGAGTTTGTCGGTCCTTGAAGGGTGATTTTTTTGTTTGTTTGTGATAAACGTGATAAACGTGGTTTGTGTCGCTGCAGGTTCCTGCTGTGCGCCTCAGGTGAGTGTGTGAAGGTGTTCAGCTCCTCCACTGAGGAGTGCATCCACGACCTGCGAGGACACACCGACCTGGTGACAGGTGTGCTGCTCAAACCCTCCAACCACCTGCAGGTACTCATCACACACTTTGTTACAGAGAAAGACTGCAGCTCCAGCTAAGTCAAAGAAAACCTCTGAAATGCGCCATTGACTTGACTTGACAGTGCCCAACCTAAATGAATGAACTTTTATTGTTATTATTGTTCACATGTTGACTGTTCACTCAAACTTTTAAACATGGTTGCCATAATGTTTACACTCACATGTTTTAAAACGACACAATCTGTTACTTTAATGAGCTATAGATCAGAGGTCTGCAACCTTTTTTTCATGAGAGCTACTTTCAAAAATCACTCACTTGATTTTCAAATCACTTGCATTCATTTATTTACATAGCTGCTGTTTGTACATGTGTGAAATTGCAATAAGCCAATGCTTATCAATAATCTTAAAGTCACATCAATGTCCAAGAAAACATTAGTTTGTTCAAAACACTTGTTTTTTTATGGGCCAAATATATGAATAGTGGGAAGAGGTGCATTTACTGTCGTCAGATTTTTATTTTTTATTTTTGACACAGTCGGTCAACCTCTAGGCGAGCTACTGAAAACCTGCCCGCGAGCTACCAGTAGCTCCCGAGCTACCTGTTGGAGACCCCTGATCTATAGTAGTATCAAAAAGTACCAAAACTGCTGTACGTGAAACTGTAGAGTATTACAGTATAAAAATAAGACAAAATCTGACACATTCATGTAAGCCCATACACAAATGCTCACAGAGAACACTAATAATATTATTAGACAATTATATTATATGATAATTTGATAGAAATACATTAGAAAGAAATATAAGCAACCTAACTAGGACTCAAAAGCCAACATGTAGAAGTGTGTTTTGAGATCTGACTTAAAAGACTCCACACACCTGACTGAGGGAGTCTTTTTTTTGTTGCAGGTCTACTCGTGCTCAGCAGATGGCACCGTCAGACTTTGGGACTTCACAGACGGCATCCTAATTAAGGTACAGCTTGGTTTTTCTGTTTTTAATTCGGCAATTGCAGTCGGTGTCATTCATCTAATGCTTCCCTTATTTTAGAGATTGATTTCATTCATCGATTGGTTATGTTGAGAAGGATGTCTGGGGTTGTGATTCTCTGCTGTCCGGTAGTCATGATGTGTGACAGCTGTGTGATCTCTTCTAGACTTACGTCATTGGATACCCGATCTACTCCATCCACGCTTCTGCAAAACATGAAGGAGTCATCTTTGTTGTTACAGCCACGGTATCTGACAAAAGAACAGGTGAGCGTGGAGGCTTTTCTCTGAGTGGATGTTGCTTTTGGTTTGAGGTCAAAGCGGTATCAGCAACTGATGACGGTGAATAATTTAGACACGGCATCCCCCTTAAAAGTCGACAAATCTAATCATCAGTCAAGTAACCCCTTAATGTTCATCTTTCAGATCAATAGATATATAACGGTAGATCTAACTGGGAAATTGTGGTGTTTTTGCATACCCAAGACCAGAGTGCTCAGAGGCCCAGACCATTAAAAAAAGACTCTCATGGGGATAAAAATCAAATAAGTAATGAATTGAAGTTATTTCTTCTTAAAGAAAGAGTCATTTGTCCTTCTACTCACAGTAATGACCTGGAAAAATAGTCTGTCAATGGTGGTATTGACCATACTTGATTTAAAGTCCAGAGTCCGCCCAGTCTGAGACAAAGACAAGACGGACACAAAATGCTTTCAATGAGACTGAGACCTTCAAAAAAAGTGGTCTGGAGACCAAGATTGATTTCGAATACTACAACACTACTAAAACCTCAGCAAGGCACTTTACTTTTCAGCTACATGAGATAAAAGAAAGCTGTTGAACTGGAACCTAACTCAAATCAGTGTGCTTGTTAGCATGCTAATGGATTATAGAGCTTACTGCAGTCTGTTATTAGAAATGAAGGCAACCATTTCTGAAGATTTCTCACCTGAATCTGCCAGAACAAGACCTGTTTATCATTATGAAGTCCTCTGTATTCATGTTTATGTGATATTATCCTATTTGAATTACTCACATGTGAGAAGTCCTCGTGGAAATGTGAACAGTCTGTAACATAATGATCAATGTCTGCATGTCTGATCAGGGAGGCTCATTTCTCTTTATTTGAGTGTCTGTTTGTCAGATACTTCCACTAGGGGGCGCCAGTTTTTCACAATTTGTCTTCTAGTATGAGTGATGTGGAATCTGGGTAAAAGGTCACTTGGGGATACTGTGTGATAGGCTGATGTTTGATTTTGTTTGTGTGTGTTTGTGCAGAGTCGTTCCAGCTGGTTGCAGTACATCTGCCACAGAGTGGAGATCAGCTGGTGGAGGCCCGAGAGCTTTCTGCTGTGCTCAGCAACGTCAGCTCCAACCCAGCGGCCATCGACTTCGGCAGAGGGGTACATACTGACCAATACGCCACCTTCAACTTTTACATCCCAACATTTATATATATATTATATAACATTTTTAAGCTTGTTCAGCTCAGAGGAATAAACTTGAGTTAGAATATGAAATGATTCAAGTGGAGTTTTCATGATACCAGAATTTTAAACTTCAGGATGATACTTGTCAAAATCAATCAACATGTACCTGCTTCGTTACCATGGCAACACAAATAGACATCCTAGGTGATCGATATCGGGTAATTTTCTTGTTTTCAATCCACAAAGACTGCAGGCAAACTCCTGCGCACGGTCTCAATTGCGGAGAAACATTGGCAACTTTTAGGTACTGAATCTGAGTCGTTTGTGTTGATAAGAAATGTTATCTCTCTCACAGGGGGAATATATCGCTTCAGCTTCAGGTTTGCTGCTGGAGGTCTTCTTTTTTAAGAAGCAGAAGGCTTACAGGTGAGATGCTGCAGCTGACATGAGTGGAGATTGTGTGTAATGAATGAAAGATAGCAACTTCACAATGTTCAGATTCTGGTGTAAAATCACAGATCGGCCATTCACAAAGTGCCGTTTCAGAATAAAAACCAACCCTGTACTTTTTGTTTGTTTTTTTTATTTACAAAATGTGGTTTAGATCAAGAAGGACGTTGTCACTTTTGCAGCTTTGCTTTACAAAGTTGATGTTCACAAACCCACATCTGCTTTATTCCAAACATTCTGTCTGTGCCTGTGTGTGCTTTCAACAGGTTTTCCCTCAAAGAAGACAACAAGAAAGGAGGAAAGAACACGTTCATGTGCATTTCTTGTCACCCAAAAGATGACTGCATCGCCACTGGACATGAGGACGGCAAGATTCGCTTATGGTGAGTGCAGCTCGGTGACGACACATCATGAGGAAAATACCACAACATCCAGAGTTTTGATCATTTTGAACATGCGCTCCTCACTAATGCAGAATTTTTCACCTCAACTCTTCTTACTCTATCCGTCATGACTATCCTTTAATTTTCCCATTTTGTTCTCTGAAATGTGTGTTTATGAAGAAGTTGAGTGTGACTCGTTAGCGGGAGCGACTAATTTCTTAAGTCGTTGTTGATCATTTCAGGAGAAACTTCAACCATCAGAAGGAGTACACGTACACCACGCTGCACTGGCACCACAACGCTGTCAGCTCGTTGTGCTTCACCCCTGAAGGTACATGCATTCACTCACCTCTTGATTCTGTTTATAATGTTTAATGTTATGTGTCTTCCTCTCTCTCTCATTCTACTTCAGATTCATACATTATTAATCCCTGTTTTGGTAACACTTACACTATAATGACTATTAATCAGCCAGTATGCTAATAAGTAACTAGTTAATGAAAATTGTGATCTAATTTAAAGTGTTACCTAAGTTTTTATATTTAGTCTTTTATTGCACATAGTTTATAGGATCAAATTCTTCTCCTTTTCTAACTCGCATGCTCCGGAGGAATGACAACAAACCTCCATGATTCTCTGAGTTTAATCCATTTTATGTTAATATGTTTTAAGATCTTTGGCACGAGGAATATGTTTTATCCCAGTTTAAAAAAAAAATTCTTACAAGAATGAACAATTACGTTAATTCTTAAAAATAATTCTTTTAACGATCCTTTTCCGCTTTTGTTTGTTTCTCAGGCACAAACCTGTTGAGCGGAGGCATCGAGTCGGTGCTCGTCCAGTGGAGATACAATCAAGAGAGTCAGAAAGACTTCCTGCCCCGTCTGGGCGCCGCCATCACACACATCTCTGTCTCACCTGATGGAGAGCTCTTCTGCACCTCCCACAGCGACAACAGTGAGGAGCTTTAACACGTTTTAAATGATGCAACAGGCTGTTTGTGAACTTTCTGCACTCAGAGGGATGAGTAGCTTCAGCATTGACCGATGAGTCTAACTCTTTAAAAGATGAACTCACACCTGTGTCCTTGAATGTGGCGCTTAAAGGGGCGTGCATAACCGAGTTTCACTTTAATATTTGAGATGGTGATGTTACCTGCTCTGCACGACTTTCACTGTTATATTGCTCTGAAGTCCCCGACTACAGAGTCTCATCTTCCCGACGGACACAGATTCACCTGCTGGTCTTTCCTAATTAGGGACCTACATCAGCATAAATCTTATAAAGTGTGACTGTACAGGTGCAGGCTGTTTACAATGTTGACAAATGTTTCACAGATTTTAGTATAAATCTTAAATGTACGTTTGGTGACTGATGTGTGATTTGTGCTGCTTCCTGTTTCAGAGATCACGATCATCCAGAGCTGTGTTAAAGTCTCAGCTGTGATCCAGGGTCTGGTCAAAGGTGAGTACACACTGGATTGGCAGAGCACGTACATTGATCATAAACATGCTGTGTGGACTCATAAATGATCAACATATCTTTATAAATAAGGCTCACAGTTCCTGGAAAAACAATCCGGCTTTAAAGGGAAGATTACGACATTATTCAAGTGTCAGGATGTTTTTAAATGTCTGATTCAACCAGATAAACCTCGCATTCTGTTACATGGTGGAATTTTAGATTTCAGTGAGGCTTCAGGATTTTTCATCTTTACACAGAGGAAAAAAACGTGTACAGTGTTTGTGATTCTCTGTCTCTTGTATTAAACGCTCCTCTTTGCGTAAGACCTAAAAGTCCCTCTTCTTTGCCCCGCTGCAGGAGAAAATGTGAAGACAGACCTGATGGTGGACCCTCGCAGTAAATCCTTGGTGCTGAATGGAAAACCAGGACACCTGCAGTTTTACTCGCTCCAGAGAGACAAACTGCTCTACAATGTAAGCTTATTGAAATGCATCACCCGTAAGCCAGACCAAGGGCGTTTGTGGTTATTTTCTGTTGCTTTAGTACTCGCTCTGCACCTGGCACAGTAACTCTATAAAAATATGAATTTTATATCAAACACAGTCTAAGGCTGTGTTCACACTGCAGCCAAAAGTGTCCTGAATCAGATTGTTTCCTTCTATTTGACTCAGATCAGATTTTTTTATTAACTGTGAACAAAAGAGGTCACTTGGATCTTTTGAAATCAGATTTTGGCCACTCCCACTGGAGTCTGATTCAGGTCATATTTAAAAAGCAATGTGAACAGCCAAACAAAATAATCTTATCTGAGAATTAAGGCGTGCAGTGTGAACGCAGCCTCAGATTGTTGCTCCAAGTTTCTGACAACATCAGCCCTATTCACACCGCTGTTTCAAGCCGCGGTATTTACACCCCCTGTGAGGTTTCCCCTTCAGTCAATTGCAACAATAGGTTATAAATTCACCTCGAAGTACTTTGGAAAAACACCTTGGTTTGTTTCTGTATTTTGTGCAGTTGGACATCGTGCAGCAGGAGTTCATTCATGAGTTGGGTCTGCAGCAGTTTGAGGTGGTCAATGCGGCCTTTGATGCCTCGGGCAGCTGGTTGGCAACAGTGGAAGAGAGAAAGCAGAAAGACACTGAGCTGGAGCTGAATCTGAAGCTGTGGGCTTTTGATGAACAAACACAGAGGTACAGATGTCTGTGTAATGTTGAACGAGCAGCACGGAAAAATCATGTATCAAAAATAAAACCACACCACTGCTTCGTCCTTTCGAGCTGTGTTTAAATTTTTTTTTACTAAAACAGTTAAGTTCAGTTATCATCGTTTTTTTAACATGCCGACTGTATCACCTGCAGTTTTGTGCTGAACACAACCATCTCAGCCCCACACGAGGACCGGATTACAGACATGTGCTTATGCCACGCAGACGAAAGTCAGACCACCGTGCTGGTCTCCACCAGCAAAGATGGACACTTCAAAGCCTGGCAGCTCGCTGCAGCGGCCCACACAGAAGGTAAACTGCATTCTGACTCCGTTTCTAACCACTCAGCTAAAAAAGCTAAGTGTGGCTGTGCTGTGGTAATTTCTACAGCAGTCTTTTCAGACTGTGTTCTTCTCGATTGTTGTAAGATTTGACTTTTCCGTCCTCTTGAAAAGATACACCTTGTGGAAGAGCTGTTTGATTCATCTTAATTACAGGATTTGCGTTTTTAACCTTTTCCTTCTTTTTCTAACACTGATGCATAATACATATATACAAATAAAAATCAAGACAAATACGGACAATTTAAATCGATTTGACAAACAGACCACTATATGGCACTACTCGTTTTCTTTTTTAACCAGCAGAGGGAGCTCTCTGCATTTTGCATCTGCTGTTTGATATCAGTAGATGAAGCAGTATTAGCAGTATATCATGATTAAAGTGTATCACTGTTACATTGTTACATCCAAGGACAATAAAGGATTCACCAAAGTCCACAGGAAACTACAGGCTTTTATTTTGTATTGTTGAGCTAAAAAAAGGAACATCCTTTCATTTTTGTTCTCCGTAAAATCCATCATAAGATCAATGTTTGGATTTTTGCACGTCGTCTTCTTTTTAAACAAAGAAGAAGGTTTGGCAGGGTGATCGAGCCAAAAACTATTATGACATGTCATTTTTTCCATGTTGATTGCTATGACTTTTTAATAACATAGTAAACCATGAATATTCACATTTTTTGACCAGAGACATCAGTGAGAATTAAGTTGTTTCTCCGGTAACAACCGGCCTCTAACATTAGTACTTCAAAAAACATCGGATCAAATGGTCGATCTGAGGCAAAAATATCTGAATCTCCCTAATCCAACTCTCTCTCTGTGTCCGTCTCCCTCTCTTATTTTCTCCTGATCATGTCAGCAGATGAAGGGCCATCCTGGATGTGTGATTTCGTCGGAGCCTATCACAGCATGGTGCCCCAGTGCTGCTGTTTCTCCGCTGACGGGTCTCTGTTGGCCGTCAGTTTCCAGGAGGTGGTGACCGTGTGGAGCCCGGCCTCCTGGGAGCTCCTCACGACTCTGTCCCAGCCTCCAGGAGCCATCAGGTGAGAGCAGAAACAAGCACTAACCTACCTACCTTCATGGGCACGGCTCAGTGTTGAACCTCGAAACCTTTACTGCTGAATTAACTTGTTTTCAGCATTGAGTGTATAAATGATCTTTACCTGCTTGGACCAGGCTCTTTAAATAGATGTTTCCTGACTCATTGTCCTGTCTACGTATTGAATGTGGTGAGATGAAGGAGCAAGCTCTGACCCTTTTTTTTAAAGGACAAGGCAAAAATGTTTTCATGTGTTTTAAAAAGAATTCATACTACGATAGGACCTGTGTCCACCTAGTGTTTTTTTCTGAGCGGCAGCGTCTTATTTTCATTGTTTTCAATGAGTAGAGCAATCGCAGCAGAAAGCGGCCGCCTGGAGAAAATGTGCAGCGCCCAGCATCTTTTCTTCCGAGCGCGATGCCTTTTTTTTTTTTTTTTTTGCAACGCTCTAGTTGAAAATCTTTAAACTTTTCAGAAAGGCCTTTTCCCTGTAGTTTTTGCCCCCCCCCCCCCCAGGAAAAAACATTGGAGCAGTGTCGTTCATACAGCGGCTGTTGTCATAGAGACAGGACAAACGTGCAGCGATTTTCTCCTAAGCGCACAAAAGCTTCATGCAAACACTCCTGAGCGCACAGCCAGCGCTTTTCTGTCAGGAGCAAAACGCTAGGTGGACACAGGGCCATGAAGATTATTTTAACACCTGCTCTGGAAAGCAGAATTCATGTTTTCAGCGGAATTAGGAGAAAAATATTCGGTCTCCTACTCAGCCACATAATCGGTACTGAAATGTTGCCAACATATTTGTGCAGTTTAGAGAGAGTGCAGGAGTTCACCTGCAATATTTGATAACTAAAACGTTACCAAATTACCTTAAGAGAGCTTACAGTACCTTAAACTGGCTGCCTAGAACTTCTATTTTTGTTGCCATGGTAACAAAACAGGTATGGGTATCCAGATTCGTATGGAAGTTTAAAATTCTGAGGTTGTGAGACCCGTACTAAGTCGAGATGGCCACAAACCTTTACCAGCACTGAGTGAAATACATTTTAAAATAAGCTAAAGTAGCGTCCAAACCTTGGCTTAAAAAATGATCGTAATGTAGAAACGTTTTGTTGACTGCAGCTTCATTCATTAAATGTTTGATGTTGAGCTTTCAGATGTTCATCAAAGTTACTGCAGACGGGGAACACTGGGACTCGCATCCCAAATAAAGTCCTGAAAGTAACAGTGATCCGATAATGAATGCATAATGCCTTTCACATGCAGATTCACTGAGCAACAATCTGTTGTAGACTTTAACTGTTGCTGTCGGGACTCCTCTGCAGCGGGCGTCGTTAAATGGTTTAAAAAAAACCCCTTCTTTTCAACGCTCTGGCAGAGTCCACAGCGTTGTTTCTCACAGCAGACAGGAGGCGTAACAGCCTGAGGAAAAAGAAGTACAGCCTGTCAGCCAGCTGAACACACGGGACAGCTTACAGTTTCGCAATGCCGCTCCAGTCTCAGAAAAGTTGGCTGATGTCCCCTCTCTCCGAACACGGGGCCCACAGGGTCGCTGAGGACATGAAACTACTGTTGTCAGTTTCTGTACCACTTTTCTGAGGAAATCAAAGATCACTGAGTCAGCTTTAAACATAGTTCTATGGAAAAACATAAAGAGCTGACTAGCATTGTAAGTGAGCTGAGATACAGATTTAAAGTCTTTCAACCCCATGAAACCAAACCTCCTACAATAACTGTTTGCATGACCCACTTTCTCTTGGACTTCAGTATAAACAGTAAAAGCTCGAGACTTTCTTTCTTTTGCCTTCTCATGCTACAAATGATCTAAACATGTTGGGGGTTAATTTAATCCAGAGATTGGCACTTTTACAGATACCAGAATTAGAAAAGACTGATTATAACTGAAAAGTTTGATTGATACTGTATATCGGTGAGTACCGTTATCTATGCACCTACCCCATGATTTTTTGTTAACAGATATTTTGCACAGTATGCAAGGCTCCAGTTTTAAGTGACCACACTAGTGTTAGTATTGTTGGTCAGGATTAAAGGCCTAACAGCTGTTAAATAACAAGATTATATTTTCTTTACAGGGGAATTGGATTATCAGCCGAACAGATCAGGAATCTAAATCAGGAAGGGCATAGTAATAAGTAGGGCCCGACTGATATGGGATATTTGGAGCCGATACCAATATTCATATTGGGGAGAGAAAAAATCAGATACCAAAATATTGGCTGATAACTTTATTAGATCTCTGTTTTATCTGTAGAGATAGATAGATATAGATTCTCACATTTTTCGCGTTAATCCCTCAAATGCAGTTCTCAAACACTTGTGGGAAAGATTTATAATTAAGACAAGATGATCACTCGACTTGAAAATAACTGCTAATTTACGTGCATCACAGCTTGACACTCTGGAGAGTGATGATGTTTGTTGTAATCCATAGAGCGCCTTCTGCTGGTGACAGAGAACTGCGAGTGTAATACAATGAAACTCAAATAAAATGCTTTTTGACTGGTGAAAACTTCTCGTAATATGGGCGCATAACTGCGATAAAATTAGCCGGTACCGATAGTCACTTGATAAGATAATATCGGCTGATATAATTGGCTAACCGATGAATCGTCGGGCTCGAATATCAGATTATCTCTCATTACTCTCTTTTAAAATGATATAGTTTTTTTTTTTTTTAAATAACTAGAATTTTTTTTTTTTGCACCAGTAAGTGAAGAATTACACCTTTTTGAGTTATGGTCTAGATTTTTTTTTTATTTTTTTTTTTATGATTTCTTTGTGTTATTTATAACATTTAAAATTTGGTGACAATTATCCATGATCTCCCTGGAGGACCTTGGTGTTTACGTGGAGCTGTTCTGAATTGATTTCATAGAAACAGAATAAGTAGAGCTTAACTTGTAACTTGTTCGGTTTGGGTTGCAAATACGTTAGCATTACAAAGCAATTATAGATATGATAGAAATTAGTGTTTCTACTACTGATCAAACAAAAAGACTTGAATCTGTCGTCTCTCAACCAGAAGGTTGGGGGTTCTATCACCAGCTCCTGCAGCTACATGTCCGATGTGTCCTCGGGCAAGACACCAAGTTGCTCCCGTTGCTTCGTCGGCGGCGTATGAATGTGTGTGAGCAGCCTCTGCCATCAGGGTGTGAATGTTTAGGTCTGATCTGTGGTGTAAAATCACTTTGAGTCGTCACTCATAAGACTAGAAAAGAACTATACAAGATCAAGTCCATCTACCATTTTTTTTTTTTTAAAGAGATATCCTCAAAAACTAAAACTTTTACATCGGTGAAAAAAGTTTTTAGGACATTTTAGGATCTTTATGTTTTTTAGGATTCATCATTTATCTTCAGTAATAAATAATTGTTTGGGTTCAACTAGTTTTGTGTGTTAATTAAGTAACCGTTTTAAAGTCTTTTATGACTAATTATGGTTAATTGACTTGCATTACATTTTAGCTCAGGTTGTAAAGAGTTCAAAAATAGTTTATGAAATAAAAATCACAATAAGGGAAAAATATGAAAGAAGGCCCTGATGGCCCATTTTTATTTCAGACCTTTGAAGGTCAAAGACACGCACATAAGTGAGACTAAAGGAGTCTGCTTCTCTCCAAAAACTCGCTCTTACTCAGACAGCCTCTTTACATGAGTGGGTGCTTCCTGTGTGTTTTGGGAGCTGAAGGACATTTTCCCTTAAAACACTTCAAAGTAAAAAGTAGAGAAACTGTTGGATGTGAATGGGTTTTGTTGTTTTGACAGCTGCCTGATGCCTCTTACATAACTACCACCTATGGATGTGTATATCGGGGTCAACTGCTCGCCCTCCAGCCTCATTAACTCCAGACACGTTACATGAAACTTAAAAAAAAAAAGTTTGTTACATTTTGGCCTGCATGCAGACGGCTGATAACGTGGAGAAATGTCATCACTAGTGGCAGCATTTTGAAGTGTCGACAATAAAAATAAGGTGGCTGTAATTGGGTCATAAGCCAGACGTTAATTTTCCGGGTGTTTGCCTCTTGGTGGGTGTTCGGACCCTGCTTGCGTGTTTCCATTTGAAGCCCCCCAAAGCGGAAAACTCCTCAAAGGCTAATCCTGTGAAATATGTGTGCAGTGAAGGGGTGAACTTGGGAATTTTTTAAAGTCACTGGAAAAGAAAAGTTTTTTTTCCCCCCCCCCCACCAGGAATCTTTGTTTTGGCCGATTAAGCTGCTCCAAGTATCTGCTGGGAACGACGGCCAACAACCTGCTCTGCTGCTGGAACCTCCTCACCTGCTCACGTAAGGCTGCGTGTGTGGTGTTCATGTCACTAAGTCGTGTTTGCTGCCGCATGCATCCATTCAGATTCATTTTTAATTTCATGCACAGTAAATACAGTTCTCTGTCTCCTGCAGTGGAGTGGAGCACCTCGATGGACGTCAGCCTGCTGCTGGCTGACCCGATCTCTGAAAACATGGCTGCCTTCTGCTGCCAGGCTGGAGCCACAGACTGTAAGCTTCATTTACCTCAAGGAACAACTTGATAAAACTTACACAACGCTGCTCCATTGAAAATAAAATCATTACAAATAGTCATATTCACCTGATATGATCAAAACGTTATTAAACATAAGTAGATAAAAATGTGGACCTAAGCTTTCATCGAAGTATTAGAATACATTTTTCTATTCTAATAATTTTGCTGGTTTTTTTTGTGTTTCAGTGTTTTTGTTTAAGCCCAGTGAGCCTCGGCCGCTGTTTTCCCAGAAGGCTGTGTGCTCGGGGAAGGTGACTCGCGCCGTCTTCGCTCCCAGGGAGGAGATGCTGGAGAGCTGTGAGGAGAGCAGCCAGTGGCTAAACAGATCCCAGCTCTACTTCCTCACTCAGTACATGGTAAAACACCTCTCCATCAGTTTAACAACCAAAAAGAGAACTTTACTCGATTGTTCCCTGAGAGTACTCCTTGTAGTACTTTCTAAAAGCACAGGAGCTTTGAAGAGGCGTCTTGCCAGCGCTTTGTGTTTGTGCTTTCATTGTGTTCATGCTGTTGGTTGATGTGGACTTTTCTCTGCAGGATCTCATGACGTTCACCACCAAAGCAGAGGAGGACAGACTGATGGCAGCCAGCAAACAGGTACAGCTCACCTGAGCTCCAAACACAGCTCGACAACAAGGCTTTCATCCTGTAACTCCAAACTGTGGCTGCATGTCGAGCATGTTTACAGCGTTTTGTTTCTGAACTCACGAGACTTGGAAGTACATCCCTGCTTCGTTCTTAAGATCACTTCCTCATCCGCATGATGACTGTATCAGTTTTCACGTCACATGTTTTCTCCTTGTTTTTACAAAGGGTCATGTTGAAGGGCAAATGTGTTATATACGCAAAGTTCAACTAGCACAAGAATTATTAGCAAACTTGTGCTATAAATCAGCTGTTTTCATTCTCCATTTCCTCTCTCTGTGTCTCTACAAATGAAATCATCAGTGCTGAGGATTGAACTCTGGCCTCTTGTTGTTTTTCCCCTATCAAGCTTGTGATTGATGACACCGTCGCCATGACACCGTTCTACCTGTTGCTGGGGAAACACCGTCAACATGAAAATCAGGTCACGCCGAGCGATCCGTCTGCAGAGAGAGAACCTTTACCACAGGGCTCAGTCGCCATCAAAGAGGTCAGTGGTTCACCTTGTGTCGTTTATGAACAGCTGCATCGATGTTCAGTGTTTGCTTGACCTTAATGGTTGTTTAAGGTCAGCACAAAAATAGAATCAAGTTAAATGAGTGAAAAACAAGTGATCATTTATTTAGTTTTTTGTGCATTAATCGTGTCTTTCTCCTGTTCAGCTCCTCCAGACGCCGGCCCACGTCTTGCCCTCCACGTCTTTCCTCTGCTCCATGTTTGTACGGTCTCTGCTCATCTCTGTCACAGACACCAGGTCAGTACTCGGGAAGAAGTTTGATCATCTTTAGAAATTATACACGTGTCCAAAAATGTGTTCTTAATCCTCAGAGAAGTCTGCAGGGAATGGTTTGTATTATCCCGTTAAAATGGATTTTAAATAAGAACAGGAAGCGCCTTCGGGGTTTAGTTACAGAAACAGTCGCTGCCAGGTGACGAGCCAGTTAAAAAAAAAAAAAAAAACTAAACAAAAAATCACACAGTCATACAATCATGACAGCCAATCATCAACACATCATTTTATTTTATTGTATTTGGAACGATCGTAGACCTACTCGGTAAAACATTTTGCAGTTTGCTAATAAAAAAATCAGCAAATCACAAAAAAATACAAAAATGGCGTCGTTCACATAACTCCTGGAATACGAAGAAATATATATTTTTTTTTTTTTCAGAATTGTTTTTGATCAACCAGACTTCTGTTCATATAATATTTTGTTTTATTCATGAGATTATTTCAGTTCTCTGTTTTAATTAGCGTCTATAAACTTTGATAACATTTGGGCTTGGGTCAGACGTTTTTAGGGATTTGAAACATTTGAAAATCCAAAATGTCAATAATTCATAAGCAGTCCTATTCATGTAAGAACTAGAGAGACGTTTCTGTTGCAGAGTCAAAAGGCTTGAATAATAAGCTAAGACAAACTGTAAAATGAGCACAGTCGTATAATAATTAGCACAGTCATGGTTATTTGTTCCCTTTAAAATTGATCGAGTCAGTGTGTTGGGGGGGTGATGAGCCGTTTATTGTTGACCCATCGCTCACTTCATAACTTTTGTTCTCATAAAGTGAGCGTGAGTTGACAAATCTCTGCTGGATTTCAGGCATCACGTTACTCAAGACCCTGAACTAAACGTTGCACATGTGACTTAGCAACTTATCTCTAAAAATATGCCAAGTCACGTTAACTTATTTTCCTTTTTTTTTTTTTTATTCTCATGGGCTCAGCGCGGAAAGCAAACCGGCCGAGGAGGAAATGGAGAGTGAGAAAGAGGAAGAAGATTCAGAGGGGGAAATGGAAACCAGCAGCTCGAGGCCGACGCAGCAAACGTCTGTGGGAGTCGGAGTCACGGAGTCTGCAGATTCCCCCGCTCTGACAAAAGCTCAGGTTAGAGAACTGAGGAGGGTGAGGAAACTGGATCACAGCTGGATCACAGGCCTGCTGGACCCCTGAACATGACACCTGTACAAAGACAGACACTCACCGATACAGTGCATGGAGAGAGTCTTCATCACATTCATGGATTTTGATTGTTTTTGTTTTACACCATGATGTCAGAATGGAAAAAATATGTTAACCAAATTTGGCAGAAATGACATCTTGAGTCAATGAGGACCTTTTCCTCGTCATCTGAACAACTTAGTCCTGCTCCTGGAGACTCACTTTGTTTCGTCGCCCCTTTTTTTTGTTCAGCTTTGTACTTCAGTTTTTGTTTGATTTAAAAATAAATCTCTTCCTGAGTCTCTAGCCCTATGCAATTCTGCAACTAAGTCATGACGAATCACCGCTGTCATTACACCTCAAGACATTCATATTGAGAAGTGTGAGATGGACAGCAAAGCTCCACATACAAACACAGTCAGACATGCACACATCGCTGTTCTTCTCCCCAGCTGGCTCTGCTGATCTTGTAACACCTCTGTTTCCACCTCAAAGACAGTACAGAGGGGGGGGAAGGGGGGTCACTTCGTCCCGCAATTACGCCTCCTCAACATTCATATCGAAGGCGAAATGTCACAGGGGCGTAAATATCAGGAAGTCTGAATAGGCCTACAGTTCTTTCTGCAGACTGCAGCAAGATTTCTGACAATTGTGCATCAGTTCTGTGGCCTCCGTCACCCAAACTGCAACAAGCTGCAGTTTGGCTATACAAGATACAATCCCCTTTTACTTCCTCAGGCCAATTAGAGTTGTTATGGTGCCAGAAACTTAAACTAAGATAAGATTCTAGTAAAGACAATGCAATATCAAAACCTGTTTCAATACCAGAGCAACTCAGATGTAAGTCCTAGGCCTCTAGTATGGGCGCTATCTTGTCTAGAATACAGTCATATTCCTGCACACGGTCTAAATGGCACCAATACATTTTCAGTACGTCTCACTTGCTTTTGCTCGTGGCAGCTTTGAGTTAAAAATATGACTGAAGATCTTTAATTGTTACTTTTTGTTTTAATCAAACATATAAAAAACAGATTGTGTTTTTATGAAAAAATATGTGGTCTGCAGGGCGCTGATGGCCTAGTGGTTAGGTCACGCCTCATGTACTGTATGGAGGACTTGGTTCTCCAAGTGGGCGGCTCTCTCTCCTAATGTCATACTCTATCCACTGTCCTATCAAAATAAAGGCCAAAAAAAATTAAGGGATAAAAAAAACTGTGTTATCCAAAAGTGTCAAATTAAAATAATAAATGTTGACAACCTTAAAGTCAAAAACCATAAACATGAGGTTTCTGCTGCTGTGTTAGAATTTCCCACAATGCTTGGCAGGACAGTGAAACACAGATTTCATGAAGGTGTGTTTTTACCAATGTGAAGTCTTTCACATGTATAATTCTGATTAAAAGAGTTCAGTAGGGGCTTTTGGTTTCAGACTGCGTCCCTGTTTTCTCACAGTTTGTGTCCAAATATTTTGTGTTTTTACTTTTTGCAGGCGCAACAACTAACAGATGCTTTTAGTTGTTATGTCAGTGCTGCATTAGCCCGGTAACCCGTTAATGCATTTTAATTGCAGCAGAGGAATGCAGTAAATGAGTGAGGTCAGCCGGAAACAGGTTCAAGCTGTGAGCTGGAGACAAAATGTAACGTTTGGTTAGATTCTCCTCACAATGTAAAATGTGGATATATTTCATATTTCATTTATTTATCTTTTTTTTTTCATCAATCAGGATCTTCCACAGAAACCAAAATGTAGTGTTGTAGTATATGTAGTACTCAAATAAGACCGGTCTCAAGACCACTTTTTTGAAGGTCTCGGAATCTAAAGCATTTTTACTCGGTCTTGTCTCAGTCTGGGTGGACTCTGGATTTTAAATCAAGACCACCACTGAAAGGCTATTTTCCCAAGCCATTACCATGATTAGAAGGAAAACTCCCATTTCTTACAGAACAAATCATTTCAATTCATTCATAATTAGATTTTTATCCCCCGGCTACATCCACAACCTCCTCTGTTTTATGGTTTAAGTGAGCGACACGCCCACTGCACACAAGATGATTTTTCATATGGTCTTGGTCTTGACTCGACCCTGAAATGTCTTGGAGCACACTACCTAAATGTATCCGCCATGCTTTCATTAAACCCACATTTTTAAAGTCTAACTTCATAGAAAATATAACAACTGGCTGCAGCAGTGTACTTCTTGGTATGTCACAGACTGACTCATCACTTATGTTTATCTTTCTTTTCTTTTTGGCCAGTGTAAAAAAAACAACATCTGATTTACAATCTTTCAAAGGTCCAATGGTTTGTGATGTTTACTTTCTACACTCACTGTAAGAACATTTTTCTACACTTTAAATTTTAATAAAATTCTGATTTCCTTCCTTATAACCGTCTGCCTCGATGATTTCTAACTTCTGTTACTCAACACCAGTGTGTCTTCCAGAGACCAAGCTGACGGCCTGTCTTGATCGTCTGTGATGTAATTCAGTATAGCTGCAGTTTAGGGTTATGTATGTAAAGGATGTTTCTCGTTGTATAAGCAGCTGAACTCTGACACACATCTTGTGATGCCAAATTGATCATTTTGAATTCTTGGCCTGAAATGCTGCATGGATGTCATGTAGCTGATGAGGTGAGTCATATATTCAGCTTCTGATTCGGTTCTTGGAAATCTTTGCCATAAACTTTTTTTCCTGTGCGAACACGACCTTGAAAAGTGACATTATTGACGCTGTAAAGTCAGGCCGGATTCAGCAGACTCTTAAATCTTGATGAAGAAATCCTGAGTAAGCTCTCAGGATCATGAAGAGGTCACATTTTGTTCCCAGGGTTGGATATGACAGTGCACTTATCATTTCAGCATTTCTCAGTTCCTTTCTCTATCAGGTGCTCTGCTCAGAGCCTCCCACCACTGAGAACTCCATAATGTCCTTTTATGACTTCTGCATTTGACAGACGTACAGGAGACTTGATCACTAATCTGGGTCACTGTATAGTGTCCTAATCGAGTCCTGAGCTCATTATCTAATTTTTTTTTTTTTTTAGGGCTTGATAAGAGCTGCTGGATTGTAAAACAGATCCTGAAAGGCAAAAAAAAAAAAAACAACAACCTCAAACAACGGAAAGTAAAATGTCCTTACTACCAATCTTTGAAATCACTGAAGTTATTTGTTGTTACACTCTCATCCTTAGATGCTGAGCACTTTCCTTTATTTTTCATACTGAAGAACATTCTGGTTTAAACTCTGTTATTAAGAGACAAGCTTCTCACATGCACTAACAGGACCTGTGGACATGCATTAGTGGAGAGATGTCAGAATGGGGCTGCTACGTAGGGAGCACACCAGACAGCCAGAGGTGTAGGGGGGTTCTGTGTGTTACTCAGGAAGTGATCTGGTAGCTGGAGAGCTACCAGACTTCCAACTTCCATATTTTGGTCCGTGTTGGGACTTGGGACTCTGGTTCCCAACCCACGTTCCTAGTGCCGCCTGTTGCTGTGTTCCAGGAGTTGAATTGTATTGTAACGAGAAATCTTGTTTTTAAGCTTTACTCGATTGATCAGAAAATTAATGGATAGTGGAAATCCAGAGACACATGGGTATTTTTTTTTAACATATTAGCTATCAGTAGACAAAAGCTAACATTCACATTCAGTAGAGCCCAAAATGTATTTTTTATTTTTCTCAATACTTGTCAACCACAGATAGTTAATGAGTAGGCACAGGTAAGGTAACCAGGTGTTGGCCTTAGATCGCTGGTTGTTGGTTGTCACCCTCTACTTCGACTTTCCAGAGACATAAAGTAATATCAATCTTCCAAGCAAGACAGTGAATATATTTCCCACAAGTATTATATGTGCTTTTTCAAACAGCAAGGTTCAAACAGTGTGGTTCATGTACTGACTCAGTGAGCGACCTCGTATCCCCTGTCAGCCGTGCTATCAGTGATTTCTCAGTTTGAAATAACAGTTTAAGGATTTTCCTGGAAGTCTCTTCGACAAAACAAAACAAGTCACCACAAAGACCTGACAGGAGATTTTACACAAACATGTAAATGTGTTTTTGGACAAACTAGTGAATGCTCAATGTTTTAGTAAATATGGAGAATTTGCAAAGAGGACAACATCTCCACTGTGCACAATTACCTTCTTCCCCAGACTTCTGAATTTTCACTCTTCGTCTCTTCGTTTTCGTTATTTGTGCAAAAGAAAGAAGATTAAAAAATGACACGCACGTACAAAATGAACATGCAGTAAAAAAGGAACCCCTCAGCACTTGTAAAAAGAAACCCATCTAACATTAGAATGAAAGCACCGCCAGCTACAAACTTTTCTCAACTCTTTTAAGGGGTTGCTTTTCATGTTTACCCTCTCGTTCTATTCAGTTACATGAGCATGTCAGGATATGGACGTTACAGGATCTGCAAGGTGCAGCTGAAGTTCTTCCACCAAAGTGCGAAAATAACTATTGCTCAAAGAAAATCAACTTAAAGATGGCTGTTCAAAATGAGATCAAAGCTAAAACTGTTGACAGGAATCAAATAGGCACAGGTGTATTCATTAGTTTTCTTCGTTGATTAACAGCTCATTGGTGTTGGGTGATTTGCAAACCCCTTCATGTGGTACCACCTCCTGATATGACCATATGTTCATCATAAAAGTACATACCATATGAAGTGTTGGAACGATCAAATGCAGCTCAAATATTCCATTCAAAAAACTTCGTCATTGTGCAAAAAACAGGTACCTCTCTCTCTCTCTCTCTGTGTGTTTGTTGCGGCAGGCATGTAAGTCCAGATCATCCAGCTCAGCTTAAAGTCAGCGAGTTTACCACAGACTGCCAGAAAGAAAGAGAGAAAGAAAGAAAGAGATTCTGGGGAGGAAATTAGGAGCTAACTCTGCTGTGGTATGTGACCTCACACAGCAGCAGCAACCCTGTGAACACACTACACAAACACACACACACACACACACGACTCAGGAGACATGCGATTGTGAAGGTTTTCTTTATTTATAAGACCTCATGCATTAGAAGCAGTACGAACGTCCTTGTACTCAGTGGAGTGCGATTATGACAAATGATTTCTTCATAATTTGATGCTTCGTCTAATAACACTGATATATATACAATATGCTGTATCTATATATACAAAGAGATATATATATATAGTCCGATCAAAGCAGTATTATACAGATGTGTTGATGAAATGCAGTAATTTGCTTTGTACACAAATTTGTAAAAATCTTTAAGAAACCTAAATTTGACACAAAGTCTGAACACTTGGTATATAAAAACATGTACAAAAAAAACAGAAGTCAACATCTCCAGACAAACAGCATGGTACAAACAATGTTTTTTTTTGTCTTTTCCAAGTGTATCACAACAGACAGACAGTTATTTACAGTAAAAATACAGAGTTATGGCCATTGGTGGTATTCCTGAATCAGAAGACCAGCCGTCTTAAGAGCTGGTTTTGATCTCGAGCCCAGAACAAGTCTGTGGTTACAATAATAAGTCGTCGGTGGAACATGGAAATGAAGCTCCATTCCCTGTAAGTCAGCACTTTTCTGCACACCTGCAGACATCCTGACTCGCCAACACGGCCTCCAAAAGGTTTCATGAGCATGAGCGACAACATAGGGGCCTTGTGTTCTCCTACACCTGGTGCGGTTACTCCACTTTCCAACCCAAACATTCGCCCTCCACGTTACCAAAAACTTGGCTAGACTAGCTGGACTTTCATTTCAAGGGTGGGATGCGGCTGGTTAACGACCTTGAAGTAGCGGCTTCTGTGCTTTTAACAGTTGATTTACAATAAGGCGACAGAAATCACTGAAGATCACAGCTGGAAAGGAACTAGATGAGCTACATTATTTAGATCTCAAAAGTAGGATTATGAAGAAATAACGTTTTTATAGACAGTTACATGAATAAGCAGTAAATCAAGGCCTTACTCAGCTTATTACACTCGAGGGGGTTTAAGCTGAGGGGGAGAGGGAGGGAGGTGGGAGGGAGGGGGGGAGAGGGAGGTGGGAGGGAGGGGGGGTCAGGACTTCAACCTTGTGCAAAAGTATTGATCAAATGCCTGATCACGCGTTGGGTGTAATGACAGACGTCAATCACTTAAAGTGCCTGTGTAACAACAATCATGATTATAAAATTAGTCAAGAAAGAGAACATGAAAATCAAACAAAATAACACTATCAATGTAAAACTATCAGAAGATTTGGGTACAATCTCAGAGTGGGCTAGAAGTGTTCAGATGAACTAGATGTGTATGAAGGCTTTTAGTGACCCTACTCAGCCACCGTCACGTGGTGTAAAAATATATATTTGGAATGCTCCAGGTTTCCCTCACTTCCTTATATGCCACATACGGACTTTGACTTTGGTACGTGAGAGAGATATTGACAGAGGATGCATAGGATTTCTCATTTCACTCTTATGGCACAACTGTTACAATACTGATGATATAACTTTTTATAAAAACCACCGCGTGTTTCCTGAATAAATACAGAAAAAAAACATCAACCATAGACTGTGTAGAAGAAGTGATCGAAGCCTCTAGGCTGCTGAAGTTCCTTAAAGTTGCAGTCTCTCGAATGGCCAGCAGGGGGCGACTCTAAAAGTTTTAAATACAAATTTGATTGTATTAAAGTCGGAGAGAATCATCTTTATTCTCCCTTTATTTTGACCCCAGTTAAAAAAAATCAATACTGGAAATTGTGACCGTTAAGATAGCAAAAATCGTGTTTTTATGACTTCCTGAAAAGAGAGTGAAGTCAAACTCCCCCCTGAGTTTGTTGTTCTCAGGTCTATGTTCACACTGACAGGATGGCGCGTCCTTCATCTATGGTTCACTCAGAGGCTCTAAAATGTTACAAACATGCTTTCTTTACGTGAACCCTTCCCTTTCTAACTGTTAGCCCGGCCACCACGAGGCAGACGGGAAGAAGGACTGCCCCCTCGCGGCATACTGACACAGGGTCATTGCAGAGGGGGAGCTGAGGGATACATTGAGGGTATTTGTTTTGGTCTGAAGAACCGCTCTAAAAGTTGCAACATGTTCCTGATGAGTTTCCTGTCTTTATCGCTAGTTTCCTAAGTCTCCTTTAATACAGCGTGGTATTTATTTTGTAGATTACTGTCCAATTATGGGTCAAATAAATGATGAAGCAGGGTGTGATTTAAGGTGTGGCTACATGTGATAGGTATGTCGCTATCCCAATTGAAATCACACCACTCTGTGAACAAAAAGAGCACTGTGGAATAAACTTGTAGATCAGGGTTTGGTAACCCAATCACTTCTTTCCAGCTCCACCCTGTTGTCTTAAATATGGGTGCTTCCAGCTCCAAAAAAAACAAGATGACAACTTCGAAAATGCCAAACTCAATGCTTCAAAAGGATCAATCTTTGAGGTCAAGTCGGAGATACTTCCACTTCTTATATACAGTCTACAGAATCATTCTTTTAACCGTGTATAAAACAGACTGTATATGTTTGTGTTTGGTTGTATAAAACTATGTTCCTGTCCTCTGTAGGAAGACTTCCACAATCTGCTTATCAAACACAGGCCATCAGAGAACAGATAGCAGACACAGCTACAGCACCAACAAAGTAGAGGACGCTCTGCCTTCTTCGTCCTCTGTGCCTGCTTTCCCCGCAACATTTCTCCCTCATGTTGCCCTTTCGTTAGCTGCAGCACCTTTGAAATCTTTACAGCTGAATCCCAGGCTGTTAGAAGGAGAATACTTGCCAGTGCCTTATCCCCTGACTTCTTTAGCAGGACTCACTTTGGGGTCCCAAGCGTAGAAGTGATTGGTTCCTTGTTTGACAGTGCATGTATGTTTCAAAGAGCATGGACCCACAGATGGAAGGCTGAGGCTCTCATCTGACCGGAAAAGTAAGAGAAACCCTGCCGTATCCTAAGTTTGACTATGGATTAGCTTCCTATGACTGCAAGCTTTCTACTCACCTCCTTCTGCATATGATTTATGCTTTGTTAATGGTTCCATTAAGCAGAGCATGTTAGGTTACCTTTCTCTGGTTTGTGTTAGCATTCTCCCAGCTACAAGCAAAGATGTTAGTGAGATAAATAAAATGCAGGGTTAATGTAAGGCTTGAGAGATACAGTATGTACCCAGGACAGAGTCTCTTTAATGTGGTTAGACGGTTGTAGGAAGTGAGGGGCTTTCCACCATCTCCTCCTTCTGCTCCGGAGAGCAGCAGAGGAAGAGGCGGTTGCCCAGGTTCTTGAAGGCAAAGCCAAAGTACATGATGTGACCCATGGCCACGAACGAGACAGAGATGATGACCAGCAAGCCAAAGGCCTCTGGGTTCGGAGCCAGAATCACCATGATGAAGTGCAGCAGGTCTAAGAGGTAATTCATGGAGTTCTGGACGCCGTTGATCACACCGCGCTCCGACTCGATCACATTCTCCTGGATGAGCTGGGTCACTGTCAGGTCGAAGGACCACAGGCCTGCAAAACAGAGATCAACAGTCACTGCTAATGGTATTTTTATAGCTGCCATAACACTTTTGAGGATAACAGTAGCTGTAGCAGGAATTATCAGCAAATATCATTGGAGTCAAAGGTCGGGAATATTGCTGTGACATTCGTGTTACATCCGTAGAGGTCTTCTTTGAAATCCTGGTGACTTGTAAAAAAAAAAGTTCAACATGTGGAGCTTGAGGAAGTCATATTTTGTGAGACAGCCTTTTATGATCTTGTGACAGGAGGTCAACATGCCAACAAAGCATGATCACACTAATTTCCCATTTAGAAAAAAAACCACACTTAGGCTAGGAACCCCTTATTCAGTGGCAACCAATAATCATTTTCTCTTTAACGTAACAGAAGAAGCTCAAGAAAAGCAACTTTGAAGAGGGTGGCAAGAGGTAGATGGATTTAAAAAATATCCATCAGTAAGAAATCCAAAGTATTTAAAAAAACACAAGCACTACTTTCTCACCACTAGTACTGGTTGGTTGCTAATAGGCAAGGAGACAAATAGGCCATCCAATCATAGAACTGGGGCTCTGGTGGACTAGTGGTTAGTTTGCACGGCCCATGTACACCCCAAGTGTTCACCCCGGGCTCGAATCGGACCTGTGGCTCCTTTCCCAGATATAATTCCTGACTCTCTCTTTCTCTCTCTCAATTTCTGGTTCTCCACAACTGTCCTGAGTATCTAATAAATTCATTCAAAGCCCCCCCCCCCCAAAAAAAAAAAAAAACACTTAGACTACTATCAAAATGCTGCCAATACAGTGAAAAATGCAGAGTTAGGTATCGTCAAGAACACCATTAATTACACCAATCCTGTACCATATAAACACTTGTTTCTTCCTCCAAGAAGCAGCAGCCGACATAGCAATTCAGCATCTATAACGGCATACTGCAACATACAGTTTTTTGCAGCTGCTACTAAGAATGAAACATTGGTCACAGCTAGCAAAATGTCAGAAACCAAGCCACTACCAGCAAACATATATTTTTGCATCATTACTCAATAGGATGGGCAAAGTTAAACAGGCTGACAGGCCATCCAATAATGACAGGACTTACTACACTACTGATACAGAACAGATACCTTTTCCCCCTTTATAGCATACAATTTACTGATTGCTGCAGCCTAAAATTGGGGTCAAATATGCACGATAACATCACTTATTGCATAGATTCAGTATCTTAACGTCTCCAAAGCAGCAGCCTCAATAATGTAGACACGGCTGCAACAACAAGAAGTAGTTTTAGAGCGGCAAAATTAAACGGCACACTGGTAGCGAGAGTGAAAACATCAAATCAAATGGGACTACTTCACTCACCAACTCTAGCAGCGATGACGCCAGCAAACAGCAGACTAACAGACATGTAGGACTGCAGAGGTGGCAGCTCTGCAGC